GTGATTTTCATATCAAGACCAAATCTCTTTATCCAAATCATTCAACATGTCATAAAAATTATGAGCGTTAGGATTGGACATCTCATCGGTGTTAGACGGATTAAATGATGGACTCGAATGCATCAATCACCAATGCTTGATATGTATTATGGGGATTTGTTCAATATCCACTCATATTTATCATAATTTTCCAACTCATAATAACCCTCTGACTTAATTTTTTCATGCTATATCCATTCATAATATTCGAATATAAAATCATATTTTAGCAAATGGTATTTAACCGTGTCAATCTCTTCATATCTATGGTTCTAATACTTATGATGATTATAAGGATATCTTATCTTACTTTCATCTATACTTTTTGGATGACTAATAGCAAATACAATAAATTCTTCAACCCTATTCACGAAATCCCGATTTAAAATCCCTTCGATAAGCTTAAAATCGATTCATGCAAGATCCAACTTCATTTTTTCCTTACTCGCAAACCTAATAAATCTAAATTCAAGGCAATTAAATGAAGACTCACAAGAAAAGAAGTAAAACAAAACAAAAATCGCAAAAACATCAAAAATTGGCAAAAACCATCTAGAACGGGATTCGGATCGATGCAACTTCAATCGTCATGATTTTCAAACATAAGGAGGCAAACACGTCGAATAGATAAAATCGACAAAAACGGTTCAAAACGAGGCTCCGATGGATGTGATTTCAAGCATCATAATTTTGTTTAAAATAATAAATAAGCATACATGATAGATGAAAATTAGCAAAAAGTAGTCCGAATTAGGGTTTGAATTGACGTGATTTTAGATATCACGATTTTTAATCAAAACAACAAGCATGTAAAAATTGAATTAATTAGTAAAATTTACATATTCAATTAATCATCATCACACAAATATCAAGTAATAGTCAATCCATTAATTGATAGCACAAATGGTATAATCGAGCACGTTTAGTCATTCATAATCATGTTACTAAATCAATCAATTTACACACAACGAAACCGACACTTACCTCGAATAATCCATTTAAATTAAAACTCGAATATTTGTCATCCCGACTCCATCGTAGAGCATTGGCACCATCTTATTTCTCCTTAATTCCTAGGGGTTTCCAACACCCTCATGTTCGAAACGCTATGACATATTTTAGCATATTTCAATAATCATCAAATAAATTTAATTTCAATTAATACAATTAATTTAAATTTATTCTATGAATACATAAATTAAAATTTAGGATTTTGATAACTTACTTGACAATCAAAGAATTATTAGAGTTGTTGAGAAGTTATAAAAACATACAGATGATCAAATTTAGGGTCAATTCCGACTTTTTTAATCCCGATAAAGACTAATTATTCAATCAATTAGGGGGAGGATGAGCTACCCATTGACAACCTCAATGTACCCATGTGTGGTGGAGTAAATGAAATGGTTGAAGCATGGCTATGGTGACTATTCGAGTGGCTGTAGCCGCTGCTAGATGCGACGAAGTTGAGTCGGAGTTGCTACTGACGAGTGCTTAAACTACAATCGATAGTGCTAAAGAAGGAGCTCAAGCTACTCGTTGGATATGGCAGAGTGAATAACAATGCTGGAGATTAGGCAATTGACGATGTGGGTTGATTGGAGGCATGATTGCTTTGGTTAGATTTGGGAGAAGCAATGGTCGCTAGAGAGAACAACAGTGATGAGATTAGGGTTTATGAATTTAGGAGAAGAAGATGGTGGATGTTAGTCAACGATAAAAGGGCTAGTGGTTGTGGTCGTCGGGGTTTTATGGCGGCGTGGTCGATGGGATGAGGTAAAATGACGATGAGATTGTGGGTGGGGAAGAGAAGAAAATGAAGGAAGAAGGGGCTACTGCTAGATTTATTTATTTTATTTTATTTTAGTGATGGACACGATTTTATCGTTATGTTGTCTTTGAATTTAGCTTTTTTTAGCAACATACACAATCTATTACTATTCATAAGTGTTCGTCGTTATTTTTGTGATGGAATGATTCGTCATCGAATTTATCTTTTTTAGCAATAAACGTATTCCATTGTGATATTGTGATGAAAAATAGGTTTAGAGATGAAATATTATATTGCTAATAAGAGGAAAAATCGTGCCAAAATTAGTAATGGAGTCACCATCCGTCACTAAATACTCGTTACAAATTAGTTAGTAATCCATCACCGAATTAACCGTAAAAACATTTATCGCATAATTTAACAATGCTAGTTTTTCGTCATTGAATTTCTATTGTAAATTAGTTGGTATTTGGTCGCTACAATATCCAAAAAGCCGATAACGAGTTGTTAGTTATTTGTTAATTCGTCATCGTATACCGATAACTTTATATTAATCATTGATTGTCGTTGCTATTTAGTTATTTTTTTGTAGTGAACTAAATAAATAAATAAAATTATACATTTTTAATTATATTTTATTATAAAATATAATTACTATTTAGAAAAAAATTGAATTATTATTTTTAATTAGAGAAGATATTAAAAAAGAACTCGAAACAAAATTAACTCAAATAAAATACTAAAACTAAGCACCCAAATCACTAAAGGCTAGCTAAAAATCCCTCCTCCTTTTATAAAATATAATTACTATTTAGAAAAAAAAATTGAATTAATTTTTTTAATTAGCGAAGATGTTAAAAAATATAATTACTATTTAGAAAAAAATTGAATTATTATTTTTTAATTAGAGAAGATATTAAAAAAGAACTCGAAACAAAATTAACTCAAATAAAATACTAAAAATGAGCACCCAAATCACTAAAGGCTTTTTTTTTTTTTTTTTGGTTAACGAATTTTGGCCTTTGATTGTACATGAGTAATCTACACCCTGCACGTTCTTAGCTAGCTGTCATTCTTGTCCCTAGTTGCAACAAGTATTGGGGCTGAAATGGTGTGTATTTTGGCTTGTTTTTATAGATTCTTAGCTGGTTTTTGCAAGTCTTGGTTTGGCTTGGCCACGTAAACCGTGTTGGGTTTAATGATGCAAAATGGCGTTTTTGTGCTGAAAATGGGATACAATGATAAAGAGCATGTAAGGAGTGTGAGAGAACGAGGAGTACTAGGGTATTTTATGTTGGTAGAAAACAAGGGAAAATGTTGGAGAAAGGGCAAAAAAAAAAAAAAAAAACGCCAAGACAGCATGAATAAGGATGAATAGTACCCAACAAAGGTTGAATGACGTCGTTTCACCTTTGTTGGGTTATATTTTTTCACTTTTGAGTTGCTCAAAACGACACCATTCTGTTAAAGTTAATTTTTCAATCCCTCAATTTTTTTCTTTTCCAGTTTGATCCTTGATCTTTTTTATTTTGCTTTATTTATTTTGCCCCTTATTCTCTTGAACTCCTCTATCGCATCCCTAATAAGGGTTTTTCTTTCTTTTTTCCCCCTCTTTTTCGGTCCTTTTTCTTGACATTTTCTTTCAGTCATAACTATTTTAATTTTAATTTTTTTTTGTTTTTTTTTCAAGTTTGCCATGATTTTTTTCTTCTTCTTCTTTCAACTCCTTTTTTCAAAAATTAAGAAAAATTATAATATATTTTAAAATCATGAAAATTTTATAAAATAACTAGAAATTGTGAAAAGCCATAGATATTTTTTGAATTTTTAAAAAATTTAGATAAATAAATTTTCATAAAAATTTTAAAATTAGAGAGACTATTAAAAGAAAATTGATTGAAATTAAATAGTAAAATTAATATTATTCATATGCTAAAAAAATATTTTTATTTATTTTTACATTCTCTCTTTCTTTTTTAATTTTTTTTTTAATTCAAATATTTTTTTTAAATTAGTAACTAAGAGCTTTTTTATTATTAAAGGAGGTTTTTGTAATGTTTTCTTAAATACAAAGAGAATTTTTTTTTGTCAAATTCTCAAAATTTGGAATGATCTTTGCAACTTCACCATACCTTAAAAAAGTATATTGTAATTTACCCTTTCAATTCTCTTTGTGCAAATGAAGGTCATGTTTTTTATGTTCTCCAATTGGGAATTAATAAATTGTGTTAAGAAGAGATAATACGTGCACCAATGGCATGATGCTGGCGGTGCATGCCGCAATACATATGCATAGATATATCTACAGCAGCAAAATGTCCACATCTATGGTGCAAAATTCATCTTCGAACGTGTCAACCGTCCTATCCTAATCGTACAGAAAGATTACGATGACCAAATCTCTGGGTACTCGTCCAAAATAAGATATATATATATATATATATATATATATATATATATATATATATATATATATATATATATATATATATATATATATATAAAGACACATTTGGCAGATGATTTAGATAAAAGTCCCTTCAATTTGTGAAACTTTGGACCCGTGTAAAACTAAAACTAAGACTGCTGTTCTTAGCCTGCAAGGAACCTAAAAAAGCCTGTAGTTTAATGATTGTGATCTTTTACAAAATCTTAATAGACTAATTATGATAGTAGCTTTTGATGTATGTGTTGAGTGTTGAGTTAAAAAAATTAAAAAAAAAATTGACATTTCCATTCTCCATCAAATGATGTGACCAACAAAACAAAAGCTGATGGATAGCACATGAGTCTCAAAGAAAGAGAATCACTTAATGCATTAATTGCTGTGATTAATTCCTTCTTTTACTTTTCAACTGCAATTGCAATGATAGATGAACCTGAATTTTGCATTTGCTGGTACTTGAATTTTAGGACACTCATTAAATGGGATGCTGCTGTTTAATCATTTGAACACAGATTTTTAATCATGAAGATCAGGCCCATCTTCAATTACTGTTAGTTGGGCTACTACTTTAAATTATGGCCCAAGTCACTTCACTAAAGGCTGGAATAGCTTGGCAACCCAATTCCAAACTGGTCAGCCCAGCACCCTGATCCAAAAGACAGCCACCCAAACCAGAAAAAGCCAACAAAACTCAATTACAGCATAACCAAAGTGCTTGGTCACTGATTCACAGTCCTTCTATCCATGGCTGCCTCTTTATCTCTTCCAAACTTCCTCTCATTCTTCTCACCTTCAAACCCACCTCCCAAGCCTCCACTCCCACCACCCCAGCTCTCTTTTTCCACCCAACAAGCCCAAAAGTCTAGGTCTTTATTGGTTTCCCGAGAGAGTGATGGTGGTCACTATGGTTCATTATCAACTGAATTGTCATCAGTCGTGTGTCCTTCACTTGCTTATTCAAATACCCTTTTATTTAATTCAGCATATAATGTGCAGGTTATTGTGGAAGACAATGAGCCTGAAGAGAGGCTGTTGAATAGGTTCAGGAGGGAAGTCATGAGAGCTGGTGTTATTCAAGAGTGTAAGAGAAGGAGGTATCATGAGAACAAACAAGATGAGAAGAAACGTAAGACCCGTGAAGCTCATAAGCGTAATCGAAGAAGGTCTGTCGTTGTTGATGATATTTGTTTTTTCCTAATAAATTTTGATTCTTTTGTTTATCTGATAGTTTCTTTGTTTAGTTGGTGAGAAAACTTGAAAAAATAGTTGAAAAGGAGGGATTTTGATGGAGGAATTTTTTAAATTTTAGAGGATTAGTTATGCATTGGCCTCATTTTAATGTGAATTTTACCCATTTATGTTGGTTTATTTGATTGGTGAGAGGATATAATGGAGGGTTGAGCAAATAAGGGTTAGATGAGAATTTTTCTAGTTTCTGATTAACGTTATTTATTGCTCATAAGGTTCAGTGAAGAGTGAATTCCCCAATTTTAATGTTTTGTTTTGAATCAATCTAGCTTCCAGCTCTGGTTTAGTTGATGTATCTCAGTGTGTCACTTACATGAGCTTCATTTGTTTGATTCTTTGCAAGCTACAATTATACTGGATTGGTTTATACGTTCTCTTTGATCTTCTAAATGAATGGGAATTCAGATTCTCCCCCTGTGGTGTGTTTGGGGTGCCATTTTCTGTGCTTACTGCTTACCTTCAGTGACAAAACACAACTGCTTATGTTCGCACACAAATGAGGGCACTTCAGTATTTCTAATCTATTTATTTTCTGAACTCCTTTTATAACAATTTTGCTATTGAAGCACATAACTCCACAGACTTCTATATCTGATGAACCAGAGGTAGGTTTTTCTAGTTCTGATTCTCAAGGAATTGATGTGTAGTTTTCATCCTTCCTACTGTAGATTCTGTATCATGTTGTTTGTTTGTTGTTTTGAAACTTTTGTAAGTTGTCTAGTCCCTTTTACAGGAAACTGTGTTGTTGTATCAGCGCCTAGTTTAATGGCAGGAATGAACGATATTTTTGTTGGCTCTTTCCTGACAATTGATATTCACTGTCCCAATTACATTACAGGCGCCCCCAGATGAGAGGCCCATTCCCAAACAAGCAAGAAGCATCTCCAAGCAAGAAGAATGATGATGATGAAGATAACTGGGAAATGCCTGAAGGAGATATTCCTTATTGAAATATTCACCCTGCCTTTTGACTGTATAATTTCAAGATTTGAATGTAAGAGGCTAATTTTTTTCAATTAAGGTTGCTCAAGTAAATCGCGTTCTTTGTTTGGCTCCATATGCTTCCTTTTTGTTGCTTTTTTTTTTTTCTTCAATCTAATGTAACTATATTCCATTGTCGAATCAATTGAAGGACACTTAATCTTGTGTGATCTGAATTATTTCACAGATGATATAATATTATTTCTGAAATAGGCAACAGATGTTTGTTATTCATGCATTTCATTCAGTCGAGAAGTTCGCATTTTAGCAAGAACATATCTATGTAATCAAATATATTGTCAAGCACTTCTGTTGATTTCTTTTGAACTGGACACTTCCGTTGATTGGCCGAGAAACAAATTCTATCTTGTCGAGCACTTCATTGGAGCTTTTCCTGAAGGAGAGAGCAAGGCAGAGCTATTATCCTTCGCCAACAGAGCATTGAACCTTCTTGAATCTTCAAGAACGAGGTTCAGGTCATGAACCTTGCTATCCAGATCACTACAGCAGTTTCCATGCATGATATATATCTCCCTCGTATCTATGCTTGGCTCACATAATCCACTGTAATACCTGTTGTCTATATGTTTTATGCGCAATCCAACCATTTCGACGAACTCCTTGTCCGTGATTCGCTGGCACACCAATTCAGTTGCCATGCTGGGATAAAGAAACCTACCCAGATTCCATAGTTTGAGGAACTCGATGGTTATTTCGTCTGATCTCATGAAAAAGAAACCCCCACTAGAGTATTCGTTAATGCTGCTTTGGTTGCTTGATTTTGAATCGCACCCGATTGTTAATTCAAACTCAGCAACTAAAATTGGAAACGGATTCCTGAGCCACATCACATCTGCATCCTGCAACAAGAGTTTAAGTTGTATCTGAAGTCAGCTAAATGACTTGACAAGCTATCGTTCGAGGGAGTATCAAGAACCTAACCGTGTAAATCACATTGTAGCCACTTTGAACTACTTCTTCCAGAATTTGAATCCTTCTCCAATTTAACGTGTGGTAATTTAGTCTGTTCGATGGTTTCCTGATTCCTCTTTTCTTGATCTCGTTAGCATATGATCCGATACCAGTGTCCTTAAGATGGATGCAATGGGGATGAACGAACTGGCAGTATCGGAAAGCTTTGAAATCAAAACCAACAATAACCAAGTGGTTCAAGAGGTGTTTAGTCCCCTCTCCAATTCGAAGACTCTCTAGGAAGAGATCAAGAACAGAACCAGGACTTGCCCATGATTTGTCGACGATGGTCAATATGACTATTCTACTTGGCGTTGATGCTGTTCTCAACAACTGCTGCAACTTTCTGCTATCTGGATTCTAGTAACAAAATCACCAAAAAGAAAATCAGAGAAATAGAACACACTCAGTAATGCCTTAAGCATAAGGTTCGAAAGTAAGATATAGTAAATTCTGAGCGCATATCAGGATGAGAGTCCAGGTTAAAAGATCATTCAAGCCCCCAAGCTGGTAGCAGCAGCTTGGATAATTGAGGATTACTACTCCTATGTATTAAGCAAAACCAGCTGCAAGTTGATCTTAAGAAAAAGTAGAAGAGTTCATATGCCCCATAGCTTGTAGTTTTATCTCCAAATAACTAAATTTTTATTTTTTAGAACTCCAAAAACCTAAACCCTAATACCAAACCATGTAGAATGAGAGGGGTGGAGAGGAGGAATGATTTATTTCCAATTGCAAATCTTCCTTTGATCATATATGAAAACGGGTTTTACACATATTAAGACTTTGTACGATTCAAATTTTTTTGATTGAGACTTTAAATTTTTTTTTGTTTAATTTAAGAGTTTTATTCTTATGTTGTTGTTGTTTCGGACTCTAACTAATGATAGCTTGTCACGTAAGCACACGTGGCAAGCTCTAGCCAATGACAATTTGTCATTTCACTAGTTCAATCATCCAATTTGAGTCCATCATGACATGTGGAAAGTCTGTTATTAGTTAGAGCTTGTCACGTGTTCTTATGTGACACATTAAGATCTAAAATAACAACAATATAAAAGTAGAACTCTTAAATTGAAAAAAAAAAAAACTTAGGATCTCAATTAAAAAAATTGAATTTATATAAAATCTTGATATGTGCAAAACCCTATGAAAAACATAGCAAAAACATGTAACCATAGACTAAATATCTAGATTGGCACCTATGCCACCCTCCCCCTCAAAAGTTCTCTATATGTCTAAACAATGCACGAGAGAAAATCAGATAAATGGATGGATGGAAATATATCTTACAGATTGATATGTGAACATTCTTGTTCTTGTGCTGTAACTCCCAGTTGTTGGATCAAAAAGGAAAACGAAAAGCAAACATACAAGGACCATTATCAAGAGAAAGAAAAAAATTGGTGATTTTGTCATTGTCGTTGTATTCATCCTTTGTACCATTAGTAATTAATTGAAAAGGGGTAGATAATGGTATACACACAGATTATGTGAACAAGAAAATGGATATGTTAAAGTGACAAATTATGTGATAGGGTTTAAAGTGAGGAAATGGATGTTAGGTTTCCAAATTTTGATAAAAATGAAGTGAAAAAGGGAAATTTACAGTGGACAGAATCAGTGAAAATCCGATTTTGCATGTGGAAAAGGGTATGCAATAAAAGCTGCTCCGTTTCCTCCATAGGAATGTTAATTACTCCCTCTACAATCTTTCTTTCCTTATTTCTATTTACATGTTTTAAAATGCAGGTCTGTCATTTAAAAAAAAAAAATCACTTTACTACATTGCCCTTCATTAACAGTTAGTTTTACTATTTCTTCATCCAGTCACATTTAATGTGAAGAGGACAATGTAGTAATTACATTTACATAAAAAAACTAAATGAGCTTACATGACTAGTGACATTTTACGAATATCAATAGATCAAATTCAAATCGAATTATAATAAATATAAATCTAGCTTGTTTAATAAAATAAATCAGATTTTATAAATTCTACTCAGATTTTTAAAATATCATTCTAGATTTATATCAAATTTAAAATTTTATCAGATTTATTACTTGGTTTTTATTAAAGATTTATACTTATTCTATTTAATATATTGTTTCAACATAAAATATATATTTTAACCACCACATATATAAGAAAATGTATTAAGATAATATTTATCTATCAATTTGTAAAAAAAATTCAAATATTACACAATTTAAAAGCACAAAATCAAATAATTATAATAAAATTTTGCTTTGAGTTAGATAAACAAAATACGATAAAACTAAAGGACAACAATAATAAATAATCTTCATTTTATCATTCACATGGTAGAAAATGAATACATGTTAATTCGAATACTAAAAATGATACTGCTACAAGTCAAAAGCCTTTGGATCTTGAAGGGAAAAAGAGAGAGAGAGAGAGTCTGTTTTGGAAAAAAAAATTGGGTGGATGTTGCTGCGCGGTTTTTTTTTTTTTTTTTTTGTGGGTTTTTGGTTTTTAAGTGGCCGGAATCCAGCTAGAAAATTGGCCGGAAAATGGAAGCTGTCGGAAAATGCCCACAAATAAGGGGTTTATTTACAGGGGACGAGGTGGTTTTTTTATATATATAAAATCACATGGTTTTTTTTTTTTTTTTTTTAACTCGTTCATTTTGCTTTCTCTCAATTTTTCCCTACATCTTTTTTCTGGGTTGCTTCTTTTAATTTCAACATTGATTTATTTTATTTTTCATATTTATAAAAGACTAATATATATTTAAAATTTTTAACATTTTATTTTTTATTTTGGATCAGTTTATTTTCAGACCATATCAAAGTAAATTTATATTTGATTCATTTAATAAATAGGTTAACGAATTCTGATTATAATTAGATTTGGTTTATACAAATTACTTACAAGATCCATTTAACTAAAGTGGATTCGAATCAAGATTCAATTCATTGACAACCCTAATAGAACTCTTCCTGATTTTTTTAAGTTGTAAAATGATACTACATATGTTCAAATAGATTGTCTCTCTTTCTATTTATATTTATTCTAAATTTGTCTTGTCAAAACTTTAAATAATATATTTTTTTAAAAAATCCTTAATTGACAAAGAAATTTTTTTTTTTTTTGCTCTTCACTAACAAAAAATCAATATTCTTCATACTTTTTCCTTATATATACAAATACCTTTTAACATGAAAAATTCAAAAGAAATTTTTTTGTTATATGAAAACTATTCATTATTGTAGAGAGTTTAATGCAAATCAAATTTTGAGAGTAAAATATTTGTATTAGTACGATATTTTTTTTCATAATTGTTTTAAACTTTATCGTTAATTAACTTAATGATTTTTCTTTTAATTTATCATCTTAATTTTCAATAGATTTTTTTTCTTAAATCAATATTGATTCCATATAATATAGGATTAAATTTGATAATTAATAATTTTAACAAAAAGAGTATTTTCTTAAATTATGTAAAAAGTCAAAAGGAGATAAATTCATTGGGTTTGAGAAAATAACACTTTCCCTATCTTTCACTCGAAATGTCAATATTGCCTCTTAAAAATAATCTAATATTTAATGTCAATCATAAGATTCAAACTCTTAACCTTAAAAAACATAATATCAAGTATTCCACCACTAGTCCACCAAGCCAATTGTCAATATCATTGCTCTATTTATTTATTTAATCCAATATTTATAATACATTTGCAACAAGTGTCTTGGCTCATATTTAACAAAATATACGTTCTCAAAATAAAGTGAAATACATAATAATGTGTATTTCAAATAAAAATTAAAATTTTATTTCTTTCAAGTATTTATTTTATGTTTATTAATGGAGCATTGAGAAAACTAAAGTGTTTATTTTATATCTATACTCCAATTAAAAAACAAATATAATATTTGTGGGCAGGAGGGCGTATACAAGCCCAGTTACAAGGAGCCGACAGGTTTGTAACCCAAAGGCCCATCAGTGAGTATGAGATATGTTCATGGGCTAATTTGAGCCCATCTCACGCAATCTATAGTCTCCTAATCTTGAGACGGTAGCAAAATGGTATAAAAACATAGTAATTTACTAAATCAAGAAATGAAAATGATAAATTTAATATTTTTTTATGATTTTTTTTTCATGGGTTGGGTTTGAGTGTGTGGATCCACATGTACATGTGTCAGTAACTTATTGGCACTATGATTATCTTTTTTCTTTTAACTATGACAGCTAAAAATACATTCTACTGTTAAGTCTCTGTTAACAAGATATGAACTTGAAAGGCAACATATTCATCAAAATTTGAAACTACTTTTCCTATCAAATATGTATCAAAATAGGTTTTTTTTTTTTTTTTTTAAAAAAAAACTATATTCTACTCCTCGAACCATATTTTTACCCTTTTTGTTATGTTAATTGATAAAACTTGAATAAAAAAAAATGAAAAATGTAAGGATGGAATGGGTGATGATACGTTTGCATGTGGATCCCGCATTCAAACCCCATTGAAAAAGATCAAAAGGTATTATTTAAATTAGAGGTTTTATAGATGAAGAAATTGGCTGTAGAACGAATTATAGTTTCTTAAATCACATGCTAATTCCTAACATTTTTGTTGGTTTTACGGATCATGTTTGGGGATTAAAAAAACGGCTAAAGGCTATATCAGGTTTTAGGCCAAGGGAACCATATCATGCATTATTTTGTCTCCGCTGAAAGATTAAACAGAGAGCTCAAAGACCATGACCAGAATGACTTTTTAGATAGATTGGATAATTTGCTCTCAGCCTTGGGGCCCCTGTCCTCAGATCATGCGTTTACAAGGTTGATCTCTCGGGCAAAATGTAAAGGTCAAAAGACATGGCAATTGCCATGCAAATCGGATCTACACAGCAATTGGGTCGTCCAAACTTTGTTGTTGGGGCCCTTGACCCTTGTCTCTCGTCTATCGACCTCGAAGTTGCCAAATTGAAACATGTTTCAATACTAAACCAACCGATTGCAAGTTGTGCAGAAACCAACCCATTCCCATATTTGTATAATTGCATAATTGACATTAGTCAATGTTAATCTGCTAATCATTTGCATAATTGACATTAATCAATGTTAATTTGCTCTCTTGGGCAAAATGAAAAGGCAAGGACAGACCATGCAAACTGGACACAGCATGCAATTTGCTAGCTATAACAGTCTTGAACATCGGCTCTTTGGCACTTGGCATATTACAAGATGTTTATGTACCAAAGCAATCAATTGCAAATTGTCCAAAAATCATCCCACCATGTAAACTTACTATGTTAATCACTTGCATCAGTATTTGGAGGATAGTGGTCTGAAGGATGATCAAGAGTTTGAGTCCTTTGGTTCGTCGAGGATCATTGGTTGAGGCATGTTCACTTGGTTGAGAAGAGCTAATAGTTTTTTTTTGTTTTTTTTTTTTTTTCATGATTCATGAAAGTCACGACTAGTAATTTTATAAAAAGAAACATTAAAAGCAATATTTTCTTCACACATACGGGATCAAAGAAATATCTATCCAATATTATGCGGTAGAGTTTACACGTGTTAATAAAATGGATATATTATATTATATGTATTCTATCTATAATTAAAATCAGGGAACCAAACCGAAAAGATCAAATTTATTTTCTTGAGATCCATATCTCCGTTTTAGTTTCGTTGGATGTCATTTACGATTTTGTCAACGTGCCGTCTCGAAAGTGCATGGTTGCATCATGCATTGCACGATGCTATTTTCCTTTTCTGTTAAATTTTGACTGGAATGAATATGAACTTAATCAATAAGTCATTAAAAACTAATTTAATTTGCTGGAGAAAATCCTTTGAAGATGATCCAAATTTTACGGTTCATTATAGTATATGAGTGACATCCAATATGGGGGATCAATTGTCTCATAGTAGACGTCTGCCACGTGCCACATGTCACCCTGAAGTTTCTAACATGGCTGGCCCATTTTTGATTGGAAACGGGACCAAATCCCATGTTGATCCTCATCAAATTCGCAACACGCAGACAATACTCATAGAACTCCTTTTTTTTTTTTTTTTTTTGGAGATCATACTTGCTTGTAATAAAAATATAAAAATGATGGATAAGACTGGCCTTTCGATAGCCTGAAGGGCCTTTTAATTTGCAGCCACTGATTTGTGCGATTTAAGCGTCGACGTGTTTTCAAGTTTGTGATGGGAACATATGTTGTGCTTATCTGTCAACAAACGAAAAGGGCAAAAAAATACATTATTATTTCATTGTTAGGGACCTAGTTTGGATCAATAATCCAACAACAATGTGAAATTTATGCAGTGATTTCGTTGGCAGCATGTGTAACATGCCCACGCAGGAATAATGTATTATTATTATTATTTTAAATAATGAGACAAAAAATGGAGAGAAATTCAGACTTAGAAAATTCTTGGCAGGTAAAGAAAGTTGGAACTTTAGCTATACAGAAATTACACCCTAGGTAGCCATGGAATGAAAATGCAAAATCCATGGAGGAAATGGAGCTATCATGTGGAAGTCATGATTAGTTGATAATCATCCATATAATATTGTTGAATTTCCTCGGCTTTTTATTTCGTACAAAGTCAATGACAATAAGCAAGCTTAGCTACCTCCAATAATGCAAAGATAGTTCTGTAAAGCATTCTCTATTGGTGTGTAGGAAAATTAATATAAAAATTTGAGATTATGCAAATCTATTTTCCAAAAGTGTGGTTAAAAAATTTTGTGAGGTCATTGGAGCTTAATTTTATAATAATTTTTTTATTTATTGAATATTGGACCTGGAGGGTGACATACTCACATGTAAAACGAGGGAGAAAAAGATGGGAGACAATAAAAATGCTGTAGGACTTTCCATCGTCTCTTTGTCATTCTTGATCAAACCAACTTATATAAGTTAGATTCAAGAACACTGTTGGATGTTATTTATAGGCAAAATTCCAAAGCCTAATTCATCTCCTTATCTCACATCCATAAATTTTCTACCCTTTTAGCTCTCAAGACATCCCCTTCTGTCGTCATATCTAGATAGATTGTAAAAAGTGTATTTTTCAAAGACTGGTACAGGTAAGGTACCCTAGCATAGACAATGAAAGTAAAGTTTATTAGTTGGAGCAAGTATCTAACAGCCAATCCACATTCAAATTCCAAGAACACACTATTATGCTATATTAATATATAAAAGACAAGAAATCACCCAGTATCCAAGAACTTGTAAGCTTCTGTCCCTGCAAATTCTGTTATCACAATGGAGGCAGATTCAAGTCAATTGGCAGAAGCAACAGCAGCTTATAACTTGGAAGCAGGTGAAGAAGAAAGAGACCCAGAAAGCAATACTCTTCAACAGCCACTCCTCAAGAGAAATAGAACACTATCTTCTAGTCCACTAGCCTTGGTTGGAGCCAAGGTCTCTCATATAGAGAGTTTGGATTATGAGTAAATAACTTAATGACCCTTCTATCGTTTGCATTTTTTGCTCCTTTCTTTCTTTTCTTCTGCTTTTTACCTTCAAAAACATTGTGTCTGAATTGGCATGGCTTTGATGCAGGATCAATGAGAATGATCTTTTCAAGCATGATTGGAGAAGCAGATCCAAAGCTCAAGTCTTGCAGTATATATTCTTGAAGTGGACATTGGCCTTTCTTGTAGGACTTTTAACTGGACTGATTGCAACCCTCATCAATCTTGCAGTTGAGAACATTGCTGGTTACAAACTCCTTGCTGTGGTTCGCTTCATAAAGAATGAAAGGTGAATTTTTTTCTGTTCTCTTTTCATTTTCTTCTTTTAATATTGATCAAGGCTGGCTAGTGATCATTAGAAATTTTTTTCATTTTCCTATGTTGTGCAGGTATTTGACGGGGCTAGTCTATTTCACAGGGGCTAATTTTCTATTAACCTTATTTGCTGCTGTACTCTGTGTGTGTTTTGCACCAACTGCAGCAGGGCCTGGTATACCTGAAATCAAAGCCTATCTCAATGGAGTTGATACTCCTAACATGTTTGGTGCTTCAACATTGATCGTTAAGGTGTGTTGGCTTTCAAATAGAATTTTCTATAATTGATTTTACGTTAATGGTGTACCAACTTAAAGTTAGAGCCAACAGATACAGGCAATAAAAAGTTAAGAACCAATAGGTGCAGACAATAGATCACATGTCTCTTTCAGTGGACTCAGCTGGCTAGATTTGAAAGCTAGTTCGATTATTTTTTGGAAGTGAAACTTTAACCACAAACCTTATAGTTTTTCTAAGCTGTTTCAGATCTGGCAACGGGACAAGAATTAAGTTACTGATCAGATATGCATTTTATGAGTTCTGTTGCATAGGTGTATACTGTAATTGTCCTTCTCACTAAACAGAATACGAAAGTCCACATCCAGTCAAGGACAAATGTTCGATATAAGTTATTTCAATTCGTTAGAATCCTGAAGTCTTTTAAGTCTTTTCCTTGCCATTGTTAGATATTTGGAAGCATAGGAGCCGTCGCTGCTGGACTTGATTTAGGGAAAGAAGGGCCTCTGGTGCACATTGGCAGCTGCATTGCTTCCTTATTAGGCCAAGGGGGCCCTGATAATTACCGAATCAAGTGGCGCTGGCTTCGTTATTTCAACAATGACAGAGACCGCCGAGATATCATCACCTGTGGTGCTTCCTCGGGTGTTTGTGCAGCTTTCCGTGCCCCAGTGGGTGGTGTCCTGTTTTCTCTTGAAGAGGTAGCAACATGGTGGAGGAGTGCACTCCTCTGGAGAACTTTCTTCAGCACAGCAGTAGTGGTGGTGATCCTCAGGGGTTTCATTGAAATCTGCAATTCTGGTAAGTGTGGGCTATTTGGAAAAGGAGGGCTGATAATGTTCGATGTGGGCGATGTCGTGGTGACATACCATGTGATGGATGCCATCCCTATCACCATAATTGGCATACTCGGAGGACTGTTGGGAAGCCTCTATAATTACCTTCTCCACAAAGTCCTTGTAGTCTACAATCTCATCAATCAGTAAGCAGTCTAGTCCAAGTCCCTTTAATTGCATTACAAATTACAAAAGTAGAATTATATGTTACAAGCTTTGAGTGTCCAACATGCTGCAAATTGCTAAACGACGCAACACTCACAGCCCTAGGAATCCTAGACTGAACTGACTCAATTTTCTTGTACATAAATGAAACAGTCCTCAGTTTAAAGCCAATAATGAAATGGATGCACAATTTCACAATCAAGAATGACTTCATGGTCCATATATAGTTGAATGAAACTGACAAAAGGTTTATATTAGGCAAGATTGCTTTGTTAGTGATCACCTGTTTGGTTTGTTGCAGGAAGGGAAGAATACATAAGCTCCTTCTTGCCCTAAGTGTTTCAATCTTTACCTCAGTGTGTCTATATGGCCTCCCTTTCCTTGCCAAGTGCCAACCTTGCGATCCCTCTGTATCAGAGATCTGCCCTACTACTTCCCGGTCAGGCAACTTCAAGCAATTCAACTGTCCAGATGGCTACTATAATGACCTTGCTACTCTCCTTTTCACGACAAATGATGATGCTGTTCGAAACATCTTCTCTTCCAACACTCCTAGAGAATTTCAGCCTGCATCCCTCCTAATTTTCTTTGCACTCTATTGCATCCTAGGACTATTTACCTTTGGCATTGCTGTGCCTTCTGGACTTTTTCTCCCTATCATCCTTATGGGCTCAGCTTACGGCCGCCTGCTTGGTATTGCCATGGGATCCTATACCAAAATTGATCAAGGGCTTTATGCTGTGCTTGGTGCAGCCTCCCTCATGGCTGGATCGATGAGGATGACAGTTTCACTCTGTGTGATTTTCCTTGAACTCACCAACAACCTCCTATTACTTCCCATAACAATGATAGTCCTCCTTATTGCCAAAACTGTTGGAGACAGCTTTAATCCAAGCATCTACGAAATTATACTGGAGCTAAAAGGCCTGCCATTCTTAGACGCAAACCCTGAGCCATGGATGAGAAATCTCACTGTTGGTGAGCTTGCTGATGCCAAACCACCAGTAGTCAACCTCTGTGGAGTTGAAAAGGTATCCCGGATTGTGGAAGCTCTCAAAAACACCACGCATAACGCATTCCCAGTTGTAGATGATGGAGTGGTGCCACCTGTGGGACTGACCATTGGGGCAACAGAATTACATGGCATGATCCTGAGAGCTCACCTAGTTAAGGTCCTGAAGAAAAAGTGGTTCCTGCCAGAGAAAAGGAGAACAGAGGAATGGGAAGTAAGAGAGAAATTTGACTGGGTTGAGCTAGCTGAGAGGGAGGGAACAATTGAAGAGGTGGCTGTGACAAGGAATGAGATGGAAATGCATGTTGACTTACATCCGCTCACCAATACAACCCCTTACACTGTCGTGGAGAGTATGTCAGTAGCAAAAGCAATGGTGCTCTTCAGGCAGGTGGGACTTCGCCATATGCTCATTGTTCCCAAGTACCAAGCAGCTGGGGTAAGTTTTTGTTCAGTGACATACCAATTGCATAGTTCTTCTTTCTAGAACTCCAATTCATTGAACAAAAACAGGTTAACTGAAACAATAATGTTTTTAATTCTTGAGATTCAAGCTGGTCCATCAATTTAGAACTTCTGAGTTTTTGAAGGTTAAAACTATTTCTAATCCAATGGTTGTGTTCCATTTGCAGAATCCTCCAGTGGTTGGGATACTGACCAGGCAGGATTTAAGGGCACATAACATCTTGCTTGCCTTTCCTCATCTGGCAAGATCCAAGGGCAGAGAAAAGAGGCACTAGATGTCTCGTCCCAGTTCAGCAAATGAGAAGTAGAGTACAGCAGCTGGAACAACACATTTCTCTCTTTGTCGGTTTCATATTTTTTCCATGAGTTTTACATTCTTTCATCAAATTCTACAGGAGATCCATGAGATAACAATAAATGATGCGATTTCTCTTCATTCACTGGAATTTTCATCATTTTTCACCCATTTCATTCCTTTTCGCTAAAGAACATAGATCACAGCAGATTGGTGTATGATAATTTCCTGTTATAGCCATGTCTCTTTGAATGTAACTTCCTCCTTCAGAATTTCCTTCATCTTCTTACGTACAGCACAGCAGACATCCTGTGGATTACTTGATGTTAAATTGATGAATCAGTTGTCCTCAAGCTTTTATTTTTTCTTCCCAGCTTCTTTTTCTTGAGATCGGCTCCCTGGCCCCTCTTCAATACAGCCAAAACCGTGGCTCCAAATCACCAATAATGTAATATCAGTAATATGTGACGAAATAATCAAAGAAAACCAGTTTTAGCACAGCACATATCATGTCACTGGCTCTATATGGATACTACATTCATGGTCATTTGGCCAACGAATAAATACGCATACATTAGATTTCACAATCAGAAAGATCATTTAAATGAATAGACGCCCTAAACAATTCAAGTAGAAACATAATTCAACAATTAAACACCAAATTTCACTCAAATAATGCTAAATCTTAAACATTTTTCAACAAAAAATCAACAATTCAAAAAATAAGAAATTAAACCTAATTGTCTCTATTAACAGTTCACCGGCAGCATTAACATTTGTATCATGAGCCCAAAAAAAAAAAAACTGCACTTAAACACATTAATTTCTTTTTAATGCTAATAAAGAAGGACCTTTACACTGAGAGCGCCTTGTTGACAAAGCCCAATCATCGGGTTCATCAAGGAACCAGGAACGGCCAGTTTTGCTCGACATCTCCATCCCCACTCAAGAATTAATTTATGGAAGGCGTGCGTACGATTGAAAGTGAGGACACTGGAATAGAGAGGGGACGGAGGTTGTACCGTTCAGGTTAGCGAGTGTCGATCGGTGGTCGAGCAGAGGCACAGAAGCATTCTGTGAATTAGTGCATGAACTGAAGGGAAGGTTTCTGTGGCGGGAATGGATTTGTGTTTTTTTTTCCCTCTCTGTTTCTGCGAGGGTCGTTATGGCAGAAGTAACCACGTGGCTGGAACCGTGTTATTAGAAATGAGAAAAGATTGGGTGACAATATATTGTTAATAAAATAAAGTTTGACAACATGACGTGGAACCATGGTAAAGCGAGTGAGTCCACGCGTTTGTTGGAAATAAACGACGGTAGTTCAATTAGCTCATGGATGCACAAACTAGTTGTTTCATTTAAACTAGCCTGATTGTTTGGCCATCGCATTGTTCCTCTACTGTATGTGTACTTGACATTATTATTTCAAAGCTGAAATATCGCATGAATGTAATATAATACAATGTAGTAAATGCACTAAAAAGAATATACCAGTTGATACAATATTTTGTATATTTTCTGAATCTATGTAAAAAGTTCAATAAGACTCACTTTATGAGATGGTGTGAGTATTTTTTTAGTTCTTTCTCTCAGTCTATCTCTTTCTTGTAAAAAAATATTAATAATGATTCTTGGTGTACTAGAAAATTTTTCACTGAATATTGTTATCAAATTTAAAAAATTTAATGTTTATAATTATGGGAATGAATATAATATTATTTAGAAATCACAAGAAGTCGTGGTATTTAATTGAAGCTCTTGTTAAAGGGGTTAATGACAAAGATTACTCCTAAACTATTGAGGTTATAATAAATTAATGGTTTTGCTATTAATTTGGATTTTTGGGCCTCAAACTATTAGTTTTTGACAAATGTTATCCTTTCTTGGTTATCTTTGACTGCCAAAGCATTAATCCTTAAAACGGTTTAATGGGCAAAAATTAGCTCCAGACTACAAGAGTTATGGCAATTTAATGTATTTATTATCAATTTTGGTTATTTAAACCCTAAACTATGATTATATAGGCAAATATTATCTTTGATGTTCAAAGTCTTAACCATTAACTTGAATATTTAAACGACATCTTTTAAATATTTAATTTTTTTTATAAAAGAAAATTAATTTTTAAAAAAATTATGATGATGGTTAATACGGACGACATGTCGTCTTAATATGAGATGACATGTCATCCTAAAGTACTATTAAATCAATTAAATTAATTGAATTGAACAGAAATAGAAAAAGAGATTGGAATCAATTGAATCAAGCGTTTACAGTCAAGAACAAGGAAAAAATAAAACATGAATTAGACTGGAAATTTTGTTATAAGAAAACATAAGCTTTAGAAGCAATCCCATCAACACTTTAATAATGCATCCTCTCTCTCTCTCACACATTTAATTAATTTAGTTGATTTAATGATGTCTCGGGATTACATGTCATCACATAGTAGCATAACTAATCGTTCATATTAACTATTAAGATATATTTTTTAAAATTAATTTTCTTTTACAAAAAATAAAAAATAGAATGCTTAAACGTCTTCATTTTAATATTAAAATTTACAATCAACACTTTGATTGCAAAAAATAATGAAAAAAGTATAACATTTGTTAAAAAAATTATAGTTTAAGGTTCAAATAACCTAAATTAGTAGTAAAGGTTTTAAATTGTCATAACACCAATAGTTTGAAAATAATTTTTATCATTAAACTAAAAAAGAAAAAGAAAATTAGAAAAGCATTCAAGTTAACGATCAATGGTATGATCATAAAAAATAACGGAAGAAAGATCACATTTGCTCGGAAAATAATAGTTTGGGTTGCAAAAAATCCAAATTGATAATAAAATTCTTAAATTATCACAACTTCAATAATTCAAGGGTAATTTGTATCGTTAAATATCTATTAAACTCATCAATCATCACTTGTCGGAGAAAAAAAAATGTTGTAGTACTTAGGGGACGAAGTTTACTAGAAAGGCAACATTTAAAACTAAGAGTGGCCAAAATGAAGCGTGAAAGACTTGAAGGAGATAAAAAAAATCAAGTTGTTGTTAGGGATGACAATAAATTGAGTATAAAATGGATATCCCCTCTACCTCATGCAATAAATATTCATCAAAATTGTCCAAAGAATATTGAAATGGATAAAGATTAAAAAAAGAGGCATACTTGCTAATATTATTTCAGATTATGCATATCATTTTTTACCTTATCAATACCAACCAACATATTTCAAAAACAAAAAAAAATAATAATAATAAAATAATAATAAATAAATATTTAGGGACCTAATTGTATAAAATTTATAAAATAAGAACCAAAATATTTTTATGTAAAGTTTGAGGATAAAAAAATATAAATAAAGGATTAAATTGCAAAAAAAAATAATTTTAAGGACCAAAATAACTTTTTTTTTAAATTACAAAAACTAAAATAAAATATTTTGATAAATTATTTTTAACATGTATTAAATGGAAAATTAAATTGAGTATGAATTTATATGGAAATTTTTTAATGACTATAGGTAGGATTTTTTTCCATGCTCTTATATATATATATATATATATATATATATATATATATATATATAAAATTTCTTATTTAAGTGTGGTTTGGTATGATGTAGTGTTTTTTTTTTCTATTACTACTTTAATAAAAACCAGAAATATGTTTTGAATTTTTTTGAAGCCCATTCAAAAGTCATGATAGTCGTTGCCGGTTCTATTTTTTTAAGGAAAAAAAATAATCTAAAACTAAGAGGTTTTTTTTTCTTTTTCTTTTTAGGAAAGTATAAATGATACTTAACAACCCACATTTATCAAATATTTCGTCCTTAAATCACAATTTTTTTTATAAAAAAAAATCTTATATTTTTAAAATAAATTTTCTTTTGCTCGTATAATTTGATGGGCCTTTTAATTATAAAAAAATATATAAAAGGGTTATATATATATATATATGTATATAAAAGGGCCCATGGAATAACAATTGAATGTATTTTGATGGGGACCACGTATATGAACATTCCTAATTTGCAATGGATATATAGATAAAAAAAAAAATTTCTTCAAAATAATAATAATATATTATTTTTATTTATTATGTATTAATTATTCCTATCACTACTAATACCGCCATAACTTTTCTTTCATTGTCACCTCCTATATAAGGTAATGGTATCAACTTTTTAAAAAAGTATATCTTATTATTATTACTATACTCGTTATTACTATCATAATTTCTCCATCCTTCTCGTATTTCATCACCATCATCACCGCTACCACAATCACTTTTATTACTTTTTTACCATCATCATAACTGATGCAACTATTTTTAATCCTTATTTTTATTTATATTAAAAATTTTAAATTTTATTTTAATTTTTTATTAATATTCCAAACATATTATGAAAATTAAAATACCATTTTGCATTTCGATTCTTGCGTTTCTATTCTAAATCTTTCATTTATAGTAACAAAACTACACCAGAGTTTTAAAGAAGCTTGCTAGGGAAAAATTTCTTATGAATTCATACTAAACCATATATGGATTACCTCTTATCAAAAGAGATTTAATCTAGTTGTGCAAAAATTGAGCGAATACTCTAACTATTAAAAAAAAGAAACAATATATGTATGCATATTTTCTTTAATATCTTTATATGACCTATTCCAAAAAAGAATTATAAATAACATGATCTATATGTCAAAGAAAAGATTAAAAACTAACAGCTAATATTTTACTTGCAAAGTTGTAGTAAAGTCTCATCCTTCTAGAACTCAATGAACTAAAACGAGCAAATTATGAATCTCTTATCTGACTAGTCAGCAAACATTCAAAGCATGGATATATAGTTTGTTTAAAAGCAAATTAAGAAATCAAAACATTTCAACACATCAATATTGGTTTTTTTATTATATATATATATATATATATATATATTAACATGCAGGTAGTAAAATATTTTCAAATTATTTTTCATATCATTTGAGATTAAAAACATTTTTTTTAATTAATCTAGAGCCAAAACGTATTTCTTCTTTGATTGATCACTAAATTCTTTTTTAGACCAAATCAATATTGCTAATTAAGCATTGTTATTTTAAATTTCTATGTTAGCTAATATATTTAATTATGACTTTTTAGCACTATGAATATTTTCTCCTATTTGGACTTAACTGACCACGACGTACAGGAGGATTTGTTTACCGATTGCCTCATTCCCTATGTTTCACCTCGAGATCAATCTAATATTTTGACTATATCAAAGCTGTTTTCATTCCTAAATCTCTAATTACCATTAGGTAAAATATTATGAAGACAATTCATACAAAAAAAATCTTCCATTACTTTCAGAAGCAGATAATTTGTCATTTCCTTCCCACAACCATTGCTTGTTCTACCAATTTCACACGTTATAAGTAATTTTTGTCGTATTTAGCTTTGTGCAATATTTATTACAAGCAGGGATGACAATAGATAGACACACTATCCATTAATATAATTTTTTATTCTATCTATAAAAAAATATTTTATCCATCATTTATTAAGAAATCACTATATAAATCTTTATCCAGTCTATACTCGGTTTACATTAGTTTATCATAAATAATTTATTAAGAAATCACTATATAAATCTTTATCCAGTCCATACTCGGTTTATCCGTTTATTTAGTATCTATTTAATACCAATTAAAAATAATTTATCATAAATATTCATTTTAGTCCCTCTTTTTTTAAAAAAAAAGTTTTAAAGAAAGAATATCCAGTAAGATGATTAATTCTACTAATGAGAAAGGAAAGATCCCTTCTTCATGCCATGCACAATCATGAATTAAATATATGCAACTAGACAAAGCGATCATGACCTCCTACCTTAAAGAGTTCAAATTCAATTCTTTTGAAAGGTCTTGTCATGATCAGCAGCAGCTAGCAGAACTTGTCTTGTATCCTTTTCTTGATTTGGTAATTTGTATATTTAAAGGGTTTGTGTTGTTCTCTTAAAAACCTCCATCAACATATCACACAATATGGGCATTACAGCTTCTTATTTCTTTCTGTTTTTCACTCTTTTCTCTATTTTCCAAAGTCCTATACTAGCTGCAAGAAAGTTAAGCATTCGTTTTGGCCAAATATTACACACACTAACAACCGTATGTTAATTTTATTCCTTCTACTTATTAATACGTGTTGTTTATAGTCCTACGTGGTTTACCTGGGGAGACATTCTCATACTTCTGAACCTTCTACCTCTGATCTGGACAGGGTAACAGATTCCCATCATGAACTTTTGGGTTCTTGCATACAGAGGTAATGGACTGATACATGAATTATACTGTTTGCTATATCTATATATATATATATATCTTTCTAACAATGGTTTCTATCTCTATAATAGCAAGGAGAAGGCGAAAGAGGCCATATTTTACTCCTACACTCGTTATATCAATGGTTTTGCTGCAATACTTGAAGATGAAGCAGCAGCCGAAATTTCTAAGTATATATCAGAATATATATATATTTGTTGTTCAGAACGTCATGCTCTTCTTAATAAATAGTAATACATTGTCATGTCAATGTGTGTAGGGCATCCAAAAGTTATATCAGTTTTTCGAAACCAAATGAGCAAATTACACGCAACAAATTCGTGGGAGTTTCTTGGACTAGAAAGAAATGGAGAAATCCCATCTGATTCTATGTGGCTAAAGGCCAGATTTGGTGAAGACGTAATTATTGGGACCCTTGATACTGGTAATTATATTTTAATTTACTGGTGTACATGCATATAGAATTAGTCAAGTCTCATTAATTAATTCCTATCAATTCATTTTCTTAAAATGTTTTATTATATTTGGACAAGCCAGGTACACAGCTACCTGAAAAATTTCAAATGAAGGTTGACCTTTACCTTTTTCTTCACCTTGACTGTACATGATGGTAGGTGTTTGGCCAGAATCAGAAAGCTTCAATGATGAAGGAATGGGACCTATTATTATATTATATTATACATATACTAAACGGAAATATGATTTTATCTGCTACTTCACCAAAATGATGCCGTTTTCTTATAAAAAAGAAAATGATTTTTTGTCAATTTATCAGTATTTTACATTTTGATTCTCCAAAATTTTACTTTATTTAAAACAGTCCCTAAGTTTCATGAATATTACCAAAAGGTCCCTATCAATTTGTTTTTGGACTGGGTTTTTTTCATTAATCATTATTTAATCCAAATAATTTTTTTCCCATCATCAATGGTTACTTTTTCTATTTTTATAAATATTCATGAACTAAAATTAAATATTCTTCTAATATAAATTGATTAAACACCTCCTTCTAATTGGATTTTTTTAAAATAATTAATTAATTGCATATATTTTTTATCTATCAAAATAAAAAATAATCCTAAGAAATATTTCAATTCAATTATATATATTTTAACTTAAATAAGTTTTTTTATAATGAGTATTAATTAATTTTTATTTTATATTTTTATTTTTAAATTATTTAAATTATTAAAATATGGATATGATAAATTTATCCACGACAATGCGTGGGTATTGAGCTAGTTCCATCTAAACGGAAAGGATACTGTGATACAAATGATGGGGTTAAATGCAACAGGTACTTCAATTTTATTGTCAAGGCCAGGGCTCTTTTCATGATCTGAACTACTGATCAATTTGCAATATCCAATAATTTGCTCATCGTTTGTTTCTTTCTTGAGGCCACAGCTCTTTTCTTGATCAGAACTCTCAATTTGCATATGATAACGAACCGCAAGCAATTCTTCGCACGATTTGTAACATCCAAATATGTTGTTATTACCAGGAAACTTATAGGAGCAAGATACTTTAGCAAAGGTTACGAAGCTGATGAAGGCCACCCTCTTAATTCTTCTTAATTGATAAGGTTAGTCTTCAGAATATTAATTACATCAACAATTAGCTCCTATTTATGGCATGTCCTTATAGTTAATAAAATTGTTCTAGCTGTTAACAATACTTCTAAATAATCAGGGCCTGAGTTTTAATGCTAATACTCAACCTGCTGGAAAGTTTTACCCTTTGATCAATTCAGTGGATGCTAAAGCTGCCAATGTCTCCAGTCATCAAGCGTAAGCAAACTAAACTTTTTTCTCAAACAAAATTTAGGGTCAAGTTTTATCCCTTGATCATAAATTACATTGTTCTCGAACGATAAAAGATTCATATTTCTTATTGGCTTGTATTTGACAGAAAATTTTGCTCTACCGGATCCCTTGACCCAGAGAAAGTCATAGGAAAAGTTGTGTATTGTACTCGCAACGAACCCTTGAATATTGTAGAAAAGAGTTTTGTGGTTGCTCAAGCTGGTGGTGTGGGGGTGGTACTTGCTAACCAATTGATAACTCATCAAATCAGTCCTCAGGCGCACGTTGTTCCTACTTCATTTGTCTCTGCTGTTGATGGACTTTCCATGTTATCTTATATCTATAGCTCAAAGTAAGGCCTATATATTTGCCGATATATCTAATTCTAGACAGATATTACTACCCATCATTTTTTTTCATATGTGAATCACCGAGGGCTTTCTTTCAGGTCACCAGTAGCTTACATCAGTGGCGCCACAGAAGTGGGAACAGTGGCCTTCGATTCTTCTCCTGGGCCTAATTCAATCACTCCAGAGATACTCAAGGTGCTTTATCATGGCACTAATAAACAGAAGTTCAATCGTATATGCACGAATATATGAACTTTTGACTTCGTTTAAGGATTTTGACAGTGAGAGCATTTGTGATATTTCAGCCCGACATCACTGCACCTGGAATGCATATTTTAGCTGCCTTCACAGAAGCATCAGGGCCAACTGATCTGCCAGGAGACCGGCGCCGAGTACCATTCAACATTATGTATGGAAGTTCAATGGCATGCCCCAATGTTTCCGGAATTGCTGGTCTTCTCAGAACTATTCACCCTGATTGGAGTCCTGCTGCTATTAAGTCAGTTATCATGACGACCGGTTAGTCTTTTCTGTTCATTACATCTTCATATTTTATAGTATCTAAGTTATTGTTGTACGATGTACTGACAACTTGACTGTTTGCTTATGACACTTCAACCACAACCACTAGCAATGCCCGACAGCCTATTGCCAATGCTTCTCTTCTTGAGGCAAACCCATTGAATTACGATGCAGGGCATGTCTGGCCTAGCCGTGCTATGGAACCGGGCTTGGTCTATGACTTAACAACTAAAGATTATGTGAATTTTCTATGCTTCATCGGCTATAATTCAATCGAGGTGTCACTTTTTATTGGAGAGCAATATGCATGCCAATCGCACAACAATAGTCTTCTGGATTTCAACTATCCATCTATTACTGTCCCAGATATCTCAGGCAAGATCACATTGTCTCGAACCCTGAAGAATGTGGGGACTCCTAGCTTGTATAGAGTTCATATCGATGCACCTAAAGGAATAAGTTGAGCCAAGAAATTTGAAATTTGGTAAGATACACGAAGAGAAAAATGTTCAAGGTCACCCTAGAGGCTAGGAAAGGGTTTAGGGATAATGACTATGTGTTTGGAGGGCTTACATGGTCTGATGGAACACACCATGTAAGGAATCCTGTTGCGGTGAAGAAGCTGGCAGGCTGAGGAACAAATTAAATTTTTATTTATTCATAATTGGGCACTATTTTGTAACGTAACTATTTAAAAATATACAAAATTAATAGATAATAGATTATTGTAAAATAATGAATGTCCATAACTATGTCATATTTCCACTATTCATGTGATTCAATTCACCATTTAATTAAAAAATTAAAAGTGTGATGTAATTTATTTAATTATTTATGCATCTTTAATGGTTCATAGTCTTTTCAATTTTCTTCCTAATTTTAAAACCCATAGATAAGTTCGATTGTTCATTAATTCGTTTAGATGTGTTTTATAGAAATTTAGAGAATTATTTTGAGTTGTTATATATAGTATTAACTTTATTTTATAGTGAATTTATTTTTATTTTTTTATCATTTCTCTCTCTAATTTTATTATTGTTACTATTTCTTTTATAATACGTTATTAGCATGAAACTCCAACCAATCGAAATGATAGACCATGAGGCATGTATCTAACAATAGACTCAATCATTTGTTTTAATCATTGGATTTTTTTTACACAAGTGTTCTACCAAAAGATCTAAATTATCCAAATCATCAAGAGATGTGTATTTAATTTATCATTTACTTTAAATCTAATAATATGTAGAGTATACATTTTGAAAAACTTAAATAATGTATAAATAAAATATAAATATAGATAAGAGGTATATATCTAATTTATCTATTACTTTAAATCTAATGATATGTAGAAAGTTTTAGTTATTATTTTAGATCACATATAAATATCTAAAATTTTTATCTACTCGAATAATAAATAAAGCATAAATATGGATACTCGAAATGCCATGATTGACTATAAATATTTAAAATTTTTTTATGGGATTGATAATTGATAGAATATGTTTAAATATAAATTTTTCATCCCATAAATAACGAAGAGGATATAAATACCCTCAATTTATCCGGTCCATGAATATTAAAAGAAACTAAAAGGCGTGGAATGTTTACTTGTTTTTAGACTGTTCACTCTCACCTATTAGCATCGTGGTTTTTTTTTTTTTTTTTTAAGTAGTCTCTTTTTTGCTTTTAATTAATATCAATGCCACTCGGTGAATTTATGAAAATCCACAATTGCCCTTGACTCGATTTTCATTTTCATTTTCATTTTTAACCCTTTTGCATCATTTCACTTTTTGTCTTTTTCTTCTACATTATAAATGGTCTTCTCTTTCATACTTAATTATGTTTATTGCCACTTAGTGGATTTATGAAAATCCATAACTACCCTTAACCGATTCCTTTTTTTATTTCTCTTTTAGCCCTTTTTCGTCAATTCACTTTCTTTTTTGACAGAGCATTTGATGTTGCTATCATTGTCTTTTTTTTCTTCTATCATTTCGTAGGAATGAGTAAATTGTCATTCTAAAATAAATTATAAATTAGTCCCTCTTTCTTATTAAAACAAATTAATTAGTCCATCGGATTTCAAAAACTAACATTTTTGTCCTTTTTTTACTTTTTATTTTTTATTTTTACTTTTTGTTTTAAGAAATAGAAAATAAAAATAGATAAAATAGATAAAATATGAAAAATATTCATGAGAAAAAAAACATTTTAAAAAATAAAAAAGAACAAAACCGTTAGTTTTTGAAATTAGATGGACTAATTAAATTGATTTCCTAAATCATATTTTACTCTAGAATAGCAATTTACTCATTCCTACCAAATAAGGAAGGAAAAAACAAAAGGCAAGCTACTGTCCTATGAAATCGGATGGACTAATTGTTTTTTTCTTTTGGTTTTAAGAAATAGAAAAAAAATAGATAATTTTTTTCCTTTTGTTTTCAGAAATAGAAAAGAAAAAATAGATAAAAATATGAAAAAGATTGATGAGAAAAGAAAACATTTTAATAAAAAACATTAAAACAAAATGGGTTTTTACTATTCATAACACTATTCACATACTCATAAAACACTATTTCTTTCATTATTCATGGCTTTCTTTTTTTATACTTTAGTCCTTAATTTTTCTATATATATATATATATATATATATATATATATATATATATATATATATATATATATATATATATTTCAAACTTCAATTGTATTGTAATTTGATCTCATTTTATTTTAATATTTTTTATTAATTACTTGTATTATTTAAAATTTACCACTTTAGTTTGTCATTTTTTTTTAAAATTCTCATCAAATTAATTTAAAATTATATTTACTGATAATTTTAATTTATTCTTCTAGATGTATGAATTTTGAAATATGATTATTTTTTCTTTTGAAAAATAGATTTATATAATCTTTAAATTATAGTGGCATGATTAATATATATAATTTGTCTAAAATGCATTTTTAGATTAAAAGTATATTTCAAAAAATACAAATTAGTTAATTAATAATTGAAAGTCAAATGAGAAAAACAAAAAAAGATGATTGCTCTCCGAGTGGGGCTTGTATTCAAGAACTAGCTATGTATAGCATAAAAATAAAAAATTATTTAAGGAGGAAAAAAAGAAGAAAAAGAATTCACATGTTTTATTTGTTTCTTCTTTATATAGTCAAAATTTATCAAAATCAATTTTGTAATAATTTTTATTTTAATCTATTAATTTCAAATTTAGTTAATATATTCCTTGCAAGTTAAATTTTTTCTATTTTTTTTGTTTTATGGTGAAAACTCGACCCACTTAGTATAGTAATGATGTATAAAAAAAATTATTGAATTGTTTTTTTTTTTTAATTAACTATGCAACTACTACTACACTAAGCATTTATTATTTATTTATTTATTTATGAATATTTTAAAATTAATTTATTTTAAACTAAATAATTAAAATTATGTTTTTGCTTAACCACTCAATGATTCAAATTAATATAGTTTTTATTTTAATATTATTCATTTTTTTGTGCATAAATATATAAAATAAAATTCATATTCTTTTAAAAATCAATATTCTCACCAACGTTAAATAAAAATAAAAAATAATTGTTTTATTTGTTTAATTCTATGTAAGTTTTTATTAATTGTTAATTTAGTTTTTCGACATAATCTTATTAAATACTAAAGCTTTTTTAAAATTTTTATTTAATTTTTTAGTTAATAATCCATAGATTAACAAGTATAAATCCTTTTTATAACAAAAAAAAAATCATGAGAAGACAAATAAGAAATAGTTAAATACAAAATTTTGATTAAAAAATTATAAATATTTTTTTATCTTTGATTTTATATATTTTTATAAATTCACATCATATCACAGATTATTAATTGAAACGATTTTTTAAAAAATAATTTTATATATTTTAGTTAATTTTTAGCATAGCGCACATAAAAAAAACTAGTTATATCTAAATGTAAGGGAGAGCACAACCTGTTATGTGAATATTTTCATGGTTTGGGAATATAATTCTATTTTTTGGAACCACTTTCTACGTTTGAAAGAAATTGGAAAAAAATTCATGAAAACTCATGTCCTTGCAAAATTAACCGTATCATATGATAGGCGCATTTTACTTCGTACCATGCTGCGGGCGTAGGCTTTTTTTTTTTTTGTTTTTTTGGGATTTTACAAGTTTTTTCGATCAATTATTTTACCCTTAACAATCAAATTTAAATCCCGCCAATCCCTTTTTAAGTTTGTATGGTCTCTCTTTATTTTTATTTTTATTTTTCTTTTTTCTTCTTTTTTATTTGTTTTTGTCAATATTTGTTTTATTTTAAAAAGGATAATATTGCATAATAAGTAATAACCTTGTAGGAACAGAAACATAAATGGTTAAAAACAAACGAGCCCATGTTACGTAGGCAGGACAGTTGGACAAGGGAAGCTGCTCATGGGCCCACCGAATAATCGTCGACCTTCAGTAGCGCAAATTCATTAATAAAATTTTTAAAATAATTAAAAAAAATAAATAGAGGAGATCGTTTTGGCAGCAGAGCGAGAGAGGAGGGCCGTTCTTTATCATCATCAGTTATTAACCTTTTTGATTTCTTTCAAGAACAAACTTCCGACCGGCGTACAGTCTCCGGTCTAGATATCTACAGCGTTTCCGTTCTCGGTGATCTCAGGTTTTTGTCCCTGATCTCTGATCTCTTCTTTTGAAATCCCTCAATTTGTTTAAAATATTTTGTATCCTTAGATTAATTTTTGACTGTAAATAACCATGTCTAATTAATTACGAAGAACCCAGAAAGACAAAAATGAAAAAACAAAAAGGAATAAATTTGTGGGGTTAAATTTTATCCTTTTATTTTGTAGAGAATTGGGAAATGAGAGAATATTGGTGTTTGGTTGCTGATAAAATCACAAATTCAGGGTTTTTGATTTGGATCTTTAAGTATATTATTGCGGTTGGGGGCATTTGATCCCTTTAGCTCCTGTGTGGTGGAGGATTGTTATTACCTCTTGATTTGGCTTCATGGGATCTCTTTAACATGACTATATTCATTCCATCTTGAATCTTTTCACTTTCGGCATTGCTTTTGTACAACCATCTTCTTCCAGTCAAAGTGATGATTTCTTTTCGGTTTAATGAAAAAAGTAGAAGCTGCAGATACAAATCGTAGTTGTGATAGAATGTTGATGTTGTTGGTTTTTTTTTTTTTAAAAAAAATTAATTGTGTTCTGAAATGAACAAAAAATGGGGTAATATTTAAGGTCATAAATGGTGGCTTAGCTGTTATGGATGGCATGTAAAATTGGGGTTTGTTTGGTATTCATCTATGGATTTAGTTCAGAGATGTTGCTAAGGTTTAATTATATAGAGCTTAGTATGCCTCTAAACATTTATAGTGGTTTATGATCTGGTGAGTTATCAGTTTGGTGGAACTGTGAAAGGTATTACTTAGACTCCTTTCTTACTGCCTTTACTCATCATGAACTAAAGACTTTTAGCATTGCTTCATCATTCTCCTGATATTATGTTTCCTCTGAAGAGAAACATTCATGTATTGAATTCAACAGAAAACGATTTCGTATGGCTGTGAAAAATTTCTTCAGTTGCCTTCCATTGAAATTGGTTAAGCAATATGCTTCTTGTCTTTGATTGTGAATGTTCTCTTTTTTACTTTTGGTTCAGATTCTCTTAAGATGTCAGGTCAAAGTCAGCGCTTGAATGTGGTTCCTACTGTTACAATGCTTGCAGTTGTGAAAGCTCGCCTTGTTGGTGCTACAAGAGGTCATGCTCTTCTCAAGAAGAAGAGTGACGCTTTAACCGTGCAGTTCCGGCAGATTCTCAAGAAGATTGTCTCTACAAAAGAATCAATGGGAGATATAATGAAAGCCTCCTCTTTTGCATTAACTGAAGCGAAGTATGTCGCTGGTGACAACATCAAGCATATTGTCCTCGAGAATGTCAAAAATGCAAATCTTAAAGTCCGATCCCGACAAGAGAATGTTGCTGGTGTGAAGCTTCCTAAGTTTGAGTATTTTCATGAAGGTGAGACTAAGAATGACCTCACTGGATTGGCAAGAGGTGGTCAACAGGTCCAGGCCTGTCGTGGTGCTTATGTGAAAGCTATTGAGGTTCTTGTTGAGCTTGCTTCACTTCAGACGTCATTTTTAACGCTTGATGAGGCTATCAAGACCACAAATCGTAGGGTCAATGCACTGGAGAACGTTGTGAAGCCAAGATTGGAGAATACTATAATTTACATTAAGGGGGAGTTGGATGAGCTTGAAAGAGAAGATTTCTTCAGATTGAAGAAGATACAGGGTTATAAGAAGAGGGAAATTGAGAGACAGCTTGCTTCTGCTAAGCAGTTTGCCGAGGAACAGTTTGCTGAGAAAGTTTCTTTGCAGAAAGGGATTTCATTAAAATCAGCTCAAAACATGTTGTCTGCTACAGAGAGGGATGAGGATATAATTTTCTGATGCTGAGGTTAGTTTATATGTTTTTCCCTAGAATGTGTGCCCTTGGTTGCTGTTGCTTTGTCTGTGGAGGAGGATTCCTGTTACTATTTAGATGGGGAATCTCATTTCAGAATAAGAGGCTCACTTATGTTTCTATTTATTGTGTATTAAATTTCTTACCATCAGCAAAACTCTGCAAAATATTTGTTGTTAGTCTTCGGCCGGTAACTTCAGCATATTTATTGGATCGCTTCTTTATTTTCACTTTCACATAAATGCAGCAATAGGCATTGGTACCTATGAGAACTTACAGCAGTGCGCACGTGGTTATGATATTTGTTGTTCTTTTACTGGTGTTGTGAGATAGTTTTGCTCGCAGCCGTTCCTTCTTCCTTAAATCCTGGATTCTTGCTCCAAATACTCCTAGTCCTCCACCCTCTTGATACTTGAGCAAAGGATCTTGCTGAAAAGGATTTGCAAGTTATTGTTGTATTTATGACTAATAATTATTCAGCTACTGGAATGTGTTTTATGCAATGTTTCAAAAAAGAACTTTTGGCATGTCTGTTACTAGTGAAGAGGAAGTAATCATATCTGCTTCCTTTGTTCCTGGTTTTGCTTTTAATGTTTTTCCTTGACAATGGATTACCAAATCCTTAAGCGTGCATTGCTGCTGGCCGAAACCACCTAAGCGTGGCTGACGGTATTCTATGGTGACACAATGAATGTGGCAGTGCGAAGGTATAATGTAGTATATGTAAATGAGATCAGCAACTTTATTCTCATTCTATTTGATACTGTTAATTTGACACTGTTTTTAAGGATTGGATCAAGCCTAAGCTCCTAACTCTTTTATTTGTTTTCAATTTGTGGTTGCTAAATTTAGAACTACCCGTAAAAGGACTTAAGGAATTCAAAGCCTTCTTGAGGAATTGGTGGATGAAAAGGAAGTTCCAACCCTTTAGATTGAAACTAACAAGGAAGTCTCGAAATCAACACAACATAATTTCCTACGGATCCGTCACAAAGATCAATTGCGTTCGCTAAGCAAATCAATTCGAAATGACCTAACATTTTAACAGAGTATAGTTAAAAAATAGATGAAGCTATTGTTTAAATTTTAGCTTAATCCATTTTATCCTAAATCAGAATTTCAAAAACAAAGAAACTAACAAGTCTAAGTCAAGCTATATTGATTGCCAAACTTGTTAAGAGTTTAACCCTAGATGATTTTCGCGAGATTAATAACCCCATTACATCTTTGGATTAGACTATGATCTAACAACCCACTTTGATTGATCAAGTCAAGGATATAGAATAAAACCTTGATTAAAAGCACAAAGATTCTAAAGGTTAACGAGAAAAGTCTCAAACGTTTTGATGTCAATGCTGAAAGCATCATGTACCGCTGCGCTACAAAGCCTGTTGGTTTTCCAATATTGCTTAGAATGTTGCATCACATTGGTGCAGTTATACTTCACTTTTTTTTAAAAAAAACAAATAAATAAAGAATTCTTATATAGTTAAAATATATGTTATTCTTTTATTTTAAATTGCATTTCTTTTAGACCTTATGTTCAAAATTCAGAATCATGATTTTCACTATCAACATAATAAATAAGAGAATTTCATGCATATATGGTCTAATAAGCCATACTCGTAATAATCAAAGCTAAAAGAAATCTGGGGTTTTATTTCGTTTCTAAAATGTTAAGAGAATGATCACTCTTCCCTAACCTTGGTTTAATTTTTTCCTAATCCGTCCAATATCTGTTCTTCGCACGTCAACAAAAGTGCGACTGATCTGTTCTAATACTGCAGCATCTACACGATCAATATCTGTTTGGTTATCATGAGTCTCAGTTGCATCATTGGGCATTGGCTCAGTAGCAGCAGCATCAGCAATTTGTGTTGGAGAAGTTGCTGATTTCTTTGGCTTTTTCCGTGAAAATATATCCAGGTGACAACAATAAAGTGATGTTTGAATTTTTTATTTTTTATTTTTTAAGAAGCGAGGGTATAGCAATAATATTAGAAATAGAGAAGTTAAAAATTAAAAAGAACAAGTTTCATGGGAATTCATACCAAAGCATGTCAACAAGCAACTCATCCTTCTTACAGGAGAAAACTGATTAAGCAGAATGGCTGGCTACTCAAGTATAAACCGTGTGCTGGCAGGCAGGACCATATAGGAAAATTGAAGCAAAAACAATATAGGGAATTAAATATATTATTAGCACTTAAAAACGTAGGAAATACACATCAAAAGGAAACATGGGCTAACCAACAATATAGGAAATTGTCAACCCCCATAACCGAAACCAAAAGATCAGAGTGTCTCGCCATCCACGAGGCCCTCCAGCTGCAGGTTTTTGTTTCTGTAATTTAAATTTTAAATGGATGCTGCTGGAGAACCTATATATAAAGTAATGATTTTGATGCTGCTGCAGATTGTGGCTTCTGTGTCGAGCATTCTCTCTATAGATCTTGAATTCAATAAATAAAATTGGGCTAACCAGAATGATGGTGTTTTAAATCCATAGATTATGGAGATGGACAGTCACCTTTGAAAAAGTTTTCCAGGTTGGGACATCGTCCAGGCAGGATTTAAGGGGGCATAACGTCTTGCATGCCTTTCCTCATTTGCAAGATCCAATAACAGAGGAAACAGAAAGGCACTAGTAGGTAATAAATAGTTTTAAATAACGGACGATTGAAAAAACGATTGCAGTCACTATCGCGGATTGCAGCTTACTATAATATTAAAATATTGATAATGAGATGTTTCGAAACCGTTACATAATGACCATTATATATTTAAAACTACTAGGTATCTCCTCTAAGTTTTTAGCAAATGAGAAATTGAAAACAGCGGCATGTTTGGAAAATATCTCTCTTCCTCGGTTTCATATTTTTAACCGGAGTATCACATTCTTTCATAAAATTATAGAGAGATAAAGGGATACAAAAATGATGCAATTTCTCTTCATTCATTGGACTTCTCGTTAGTTTTTTATACCTCGTTCCTTTTTAACTCAAGAACAGGTAAGAAAGCAGAGGTGTGACACTTTCCTCTCATAGCCCCTCTCTTGCATGTTCTCATTACCTGTAATTTGCACCTTGAGGTTTCTCTTCACCTTCACAAGCATACATTCTGTCGGTCCCTTCACGTTAAATTAAGGAATATTTCCCTCATCAGCGTTTTTTCTTCTTCCCGGATTTCTTTTTCTTGAGACCTGCTACTTTGCCCCTCTTGAACACAGCTAAAACTTCGATGCTGCAACCGTAGCTCAAAATCAATTGCAATCCGATCTCATGAAATAAATAAAGGCAAACACTTTTGAGTGCACATATCATGGCATGGAGTGTACATGGATACCAAATTCACTGTCATTAGGCATCTCGACAGATTCTTCATGATAATTATTATAAGCCTTTGATTAGATTCTATAACCAAAATATTGACGATTTAGACAAAAAAAAAAAAAAAAAAACAACCTCTGAAAATACTACAATTTCACCCAGAGCTCCTATGTTGCTAAATTTCTACTTCATTAAAGGGTGCAAGAGTTGGCATCTTTTTCAACAAATTGAAAGATTAAAGCAACTGCTATATATCAGCAGGAGCAAAGACAACCATAACAGTTCATCAGGAAATGCCATGGCAGTTGCATCAAAAAACAGTAAAGTGAATCATTCTGCATTTGAGATGATAAACCCAGCCTTATAAACATATCACTTTTGGATGGGGAAATACATGAAAATAGAAAGGAGCAGTACCTTTGGGTGCCAGGAAAGAAGTTAAAACCATGAGCCTTTTCCAGACGCCATTTCTTACTAGACAACAATGACTTGCAATCCTGTGAAAATAAAGAATACCCAAGTCAGAGTTTTATCTGTTCTCTTGGAACTTAATGATCATAGTCACTATAATTCCATAAGTACCTCCTTGAAGCTTTCCCATCCACAACTTATATAAATAAGTGTTTGAGGCAGTGATCCTGAGTCCTCCAGAGTTGGTTTGCTTCCAATTTGAACTGAATCGTTCATTGCACGTAGCACCCATGGTCTTTTCTCCTCTTTGACCTTTGGATAAGAGCTGGAATTGACAAGAACGTAAACTAGTAAATTGGAAATGTTGAGTACTGCAATATTGCAGCTAGAATTAAACACCTTTACTTACAAGCTACACCATTAGTTATGCACGTTCAACTTCATTGACCAAAAGTCTATGAATTTGGTCCTACCTCTCAGGTGCTGATTTAGCCTTGCGCTCCATTGATGATATAGTTCGTAATGCATCAAGAAGAGATGCATCAAGTCCCTTTCTAGGAGGATCAACAATGACCACTTCTGAACCCATGAGCCAAGAAAGAGGTTCCTATTCGACATATGAACAAGAACACATAATTATCTTGAATCATTTAATAGTGATATTAGTTTGGAATAATTTGACTGAAATTGAAGGTAAAAGTCTGAGAAAAGCCAGAAGTTGCTCTTTCTCTTTGCAGTTCACAATTCGCACACAAGTTCTTCAAAATTAACCATTAATAGAGCAAAACTTATGAAAAGAATTCAACACTTCACAGTATATGACTATAATTTGAAGTTTCTCACAGAATTAACCATAAGCTTAAATCAGAAAAGTTAAATACTAACAACTGAAGTGTCTGCACGATGCCAACTAATGCTGCTATCTACATAGCTTGGAAGGCGTTCAACAGTCTTCTCAAAAGATAGCTTTGACTCTTTGTTAACCTCAACACATTTAACAGATCTGAAAAGCAATAATCACAACACCACAGTTAAAATTCTATTAATTTAACTATAAAAATGAGCCTAAAACGTTTAGAACAAGCCTGGATCTTGCCTGCATTTTCTAGTTGCAGCCAATGATAATCCAATTGCACCAGCTCCAGCGTACAGATCAGTGACAGATGCTCCATAAGGAACATGTTTTTGTAACTTCCGCAGCAGGATATCAAAAGCCTGAAGTAGCATTGGTCAATAAATAAATCAAAGTCAAGCCAAGTAAAATAAAAGTCAGGCAACATGATATCATGGAACAAGCCAGTTGAGAAGGGAGTAGAGAAGACAGTGTGTATGAAGATGCTTGAATCTACATTTTTGTGCAGCAACAACTTTATCTGCTAGATGGAATATATACAATCCAATCAAAACAGAAAGGAGTTTTTCAAATTAGAAGATTGTTCTACCTGAGTGTTTGCTTGTCCAAAACTGGATGGAGCCAAGGACATGTCGATTCCTCCAACATGTTCCCAAAAGCCACTTTCTCCTAAGAGATGCCTCCACCTATTGCCAAATATAATCTGCATCATCACTAAGACATTTTAGCCTCACATAACAAAAGGTTTCTTTCTATTTTTCTTTTTAAAGCAATAATTTCTTGTCCCTTCTTCAGCATGCCACCATCATCGATTAATTTCTGTAAATTTGCTAACCCCATCATGACACTCATCCTCACGACAATATTACAGTTTTCTGTCTCCAACCGAAACTTTATATCAGAGAATCTTAAAACAAGTAGAAAGCCTTGTTTATTAAATCAAGAACATATTGTTTTAATTTTCTTTTTGCAGACTTATTCTTTAGTTTTGTACATCATGAAGATACAAAACTAGCCAGACACACATTCATGAAATAAATACTATGACTCTTCAGATTTTCATTAATTATTCACATTAAGCATTTCACATCATACAGAGCTTAAGTCATCTTTCTTTTTTAGTAATGAAGCAACTCCTTACTTACATTGTTTGTTGATGTCTGAAAGTTAGCCCATACAGAATGAATAAACCTGACGTCACTCCTCGGTCCACCATTCCTCCATAAAAACTGCAAAAACACAACATACAATTCAACATCTATACATGCATGTATACATGAATCTGCAACAAAACAATTAATAAAAGGATGCAGAACTCACATGAGCCAAGGCATTTAATTTTTCAAAATTATGAGAATTCTCATTTCTTGAATTCCAAACTAAGGAAACCTGCACCTTACCTGGTACATACATGTAAGCAATTAATTAAAAAATCTCAATTATCATAAACTTAAAACAGTTTGAAGAACCAAAAAATCCTTAAAATGTAATATCACAACCATTTTTATATCTCTCCGAGGCAGGAAGTGAAGTATTGTAAGTTGTCACAGCCATCTGCAAAATTCCACGAACACATTATTTCTCAATCAGAAATCACCTATCATTTTAACTTTTGTTTTACTTTGAAATTCTAAATTTTTTAAAAGTTAATTTTTATAACAACCTGAACATATCGCAATTCGCCTGTGCCCTCATCTTCATCGTATGGCTTGATATTCAACTTAGTAATACCTAAAACAAGAATAGAACAACTTAACAATTAAACACCAAATTCAAATCGTTTTCAACAAAATGAAGAAATTAGACCTTGTCTCAGCAGTTCAACGGCCGCATTAATATTCGGATGATGAGCTGCAACAAATTTAAAACAAAAATTAAATCAATTAACCTCAATTAAGCTGCAAATCAGTGGAGTTTTTTTTTTTTTTTTCCTATTACCTTTACACTGGGGGATGTCTACTACATTATGAGTGCCTTCTTCATAAAGCCCTATCAACGGCTTCATCGAGGAACCACGAACGGCCAGTTTTGCTCGACTCCTCCATCCCCACTGTAGATGCGAATCAGAGAATCAAAACCATAATTAGTTAAAAGGAAAAAAAGAATAAGAAACAGCAATCAATATATATATATATATAAAATAATACCAATCTACAGCTATCAAAATCGAAATCTGAAACTCCTAGACTCTTAAAAAAATCATCAGCCTCGTCGACGATATTCGGACGGTGGAGATTTTGCTCTTGCGTGCAACCAGAGCACCTTAAAAACACACAAAATTAAATAAATAACTTTATCTAAAAGAGAAATTAAGATTAATTTATGGAAGGCGTGCGTACGATTGGAAGTGAGGACACTGGAGCGCGCAAGATAGGGAAGGGACGGAGGTTGTGCTGTTGAGGTTAGGAAGAGTTGGTGACGGAGAGGAGGGAGGGGTGCGGAGTGCGGCAGGGGACGCGTGGCAGGTGATGAGAGGAGAGGAAGGTAATAGACGATTAAAGAGGAGGCACAGAGGCATTTGTGAAATCGAGGGTGAATGAAGTGAAGAGAAGGTTGTGTGAGTGGCGGGAATGGATAACGGATTGGAAAATGTTGCTGAAAATATCTGTTTGTCTTAACGGGCTGGTGTTGGAGCTGACCCGAACCCGGCTACAGTTTCAAGAAAAAGAAAAGGAATACAGCTTATTATTATTATTATATAAATTCAATTAAAGTTTAAGGATTTTGATTTTTTTTTTCATTCTAATATGCATCTTGAAGCTCATGAAATGAGTCTTTTGAATAATTTATTTAAAATTAATTTTTAAAATTTACAATAAAATAAGCTGAGAGAGACAAAAAAAAAAAAATGTGATATTCAATTTTTAAAATAATAGAATTAAAAAAAAAAAAAAAGAGTGAGAGAGGGTTTGGGCAACTTGGCTGTTTCTAGTTATAAAAGTTTGCTATTGTTTTCATGCTCTTAAGGAAAAGGGGAAAAAAAAATCAAATAACAAAAGAAAAACACAACTCCTGCTCCTCAGTCAATCAATTATCTTGTTATTGGTCTATATATAGTAATAATGAATAAATTATAAATTAGTCCTTCTAGTTTGGAGAAATGAATTGATTAGTCTTACTTATTTTAAACATTAATTATTTAATCATTTGTTTAGCTTTGATTATACTTAATTTAATACTATTTATTTCAAAAAATGTATTATTTTCTCATCAATATTTTTATTATTTTAAATATATATATATATATATACTATTAAAAAATATATATAATTAGACAAAAATGATTAAATAGTTAGTTTTTAAAATAAAAGATTAATTAATTTGTTTATTAAAACTAAAGGGACTAATTTATAATTTACTCATATAGCAGTTCGCATAGAGAACTACAGTTATGATATATAGATATAACTATGTGTGCACGGAATCTGGTTATTAGTAAATTATATTATGTTAGAAACTCATATGTATAAAACCTATAAAGTGAGATAGGTCTCTTATTCCTTTGCGTAAATAAAAAATAAAAATCAAAAATCAAAAAATTAGTGAAGCTTTCATGATTAATTTCTGTGCAGCTTTTAATATTTACGAAACAAAGGAGTGTGAAACTTTAGAGAAAAAAAGAAAGAAAAGTCAATAAGATCCATGGAAAATTGTTATTTTTCGAATAAAAAAATTAAAATAGTAAATGAAATCTGAAGATTTCTGTGTGGTTTTTAATGTTTAGAAAAATAAAATGAGTATGAAACTCGGAGGAAAGGAAAGAAAATTAAAGAAGATATGTAATTAACATGTTATTTTTTTATTCTTTGTAATGCAATTATTATGTATATTTAAAAAGAAGGATTCTTCTATAAATATCAAGGTTTTAAATTGCGGTTATTGTGTTATAGGTCGTTGCCGATGTTATGTCATGATTGCGGTTACTACTCTTTATCTTGTTTGTAAAATTCTCCTCCAATAATAACAACAAATATTGTATATAATAATTAAATCGAAATGACTGTTTTGTTATTGGCCCAAGCATAAGAATTAAAAGCATAGAGCCTTTCAAAGGATTAAGGATTTTAGAGGAAAGAAGAAGAAGAAGCAAATGAATCAAAATTTTAATTTTTAATTTTATATAAAAATAAGGATGTTACAATAATAAATAACAACCATAATCTTTATATAATGGTTATAATGGTTGTGACTACGATAAAATATCAAAATTTATTATAAAATAAAATTTAACATAACAAATAGTCAAAAATCTATTACTTAATGAGCGTTACATTACGTTATGTTGCAGTCGATTTTTAAAACCATGATAAATATTTATAATTAAAACAACAATTTGCTTATAAAAGAAGTGGTGTTTGATTATAATAGGGAAAAAAAACCTCATATTACTTGTCACCTTTTTTTTTTCGTTTGTTTTACATCTAATTTTTTTTGGTTCCCTCAAAATTGCAAAGTTTTTTATGTTATTTTTATCAACAAGATTTTGGTATTTCGAACTAATCCAATGTTAATTAAATTTTATTAGATCTTTCTCTTTCTCTCTTGAGCAAAAACCTTTATTTATTATTAGTTTTTTAATATTGGTTCTTCAACGTGTTTTTTCCTTTTCCTGATTAATTTTATGAAGATCATTACTTACCTACAGAAATTTTCTTGCAATCTATCGTTAGAATACCTTAACTTTCATCCATATTTTGATAATTTGGTTTTGAGTTCTCACAAATGATTTGTGAATATACAGGAAGAATGAGAACTACAAGCGAACAATACTTTCCAGCTTCATTCAAGCAGTTTACTTGCTTGCACTGACAAAAAACAGAACATAACAAAAGAAAACGCCCTTGCTCCAAATTGGTGGCGAAACTTTAAATACAAATTGACCCAAACCCTAATTGATGAAAGAGATGGTTCTATATTTGGTGCGGTACTAGAATGGGATCGAATTGCAACAGTAATTGACACGGTCCTTATTAGACCTAGTGGAGCACCAAAGGCTATTCGTATCAAGAAACCCATGTAAAATACAGGGTCGCAATCCTACAAGCTTGTAAGCTCTCTTCGTATCTCTGATGAACAATTTCCAAATAAATCTAGGCTGTCATCAACGTAAGAAACATTCTGGGACTCTGACGCTGTAGGAATTTTGCCACGGAAGAAGCCAACTGGAAAGTGAAAACAGTGACTTAACATTTCTTCTATCCAATCTGGGAAAGCTACTAAACGATTTTCAGTGAATGAGATCTACGCTATCAAGGAAATATCAATTTTTTTCAGCAGCATGATTATGACTGCACAGCTACAAAGAATCAAAGGCTGATACTGATAAGAGAACATATTCACCCTTGTAATGAACCAAAGTGATTATTGTTCGACGCATCAATAATGCAAACCGAAAGGAATATCGCTCCAATAAGATACCCAAATCTTGTCAATATGAACCAGGGAACGCTGCATTAACTAGGGATGGCAATAGGACACGAGGATGGCTCTGAAAATTTTGCCCCATCTCTGCCTTGTGCTCCGAACGAGGTAAAATTTATCATACTATCCCTATCCCAAACGGATGGGATAGGAATCCTCACGAAATACTGACCGGGCAAGCGAGGCAAAAAAATTATCAAATTTTTTTTTCGTCTTGTCTTATCCTATTCTATTATCAAATTTCAAACTATAATAAAATATGATAATTTATATAAAAAACAAACTCTAAAAGTCATTAATCTCAGATTTTATATAGGATATAATTATAATTTTAGAGATGAACCTTACAAAATGAGGCAAACATGATGGGATGAGCAAATACCATCTCCCCATCCTCGTTCATGAGGCGCCCTGCCCTGTTCCCGATCAACGCGAGGAATCCCCGCATTGATCGGGTGAGACAAATTGCCATCTCTAGCATTAACCAGCCTTTCAGTATATTTCGCATCATTCAGCTTTTAGAATGTTTAGAAGCGGTGATCTTATCGATCAATGCAAATCATGTGATTAATACTCATATTAACATAAAGACTTCGTCCAAGATAAATCGTAATGTCTCAAATTAGAGACTAGCCAGTCTCTTAATACATCTTGATATTAGTCTGGACGCAGCTGGAACATTCGATAGTGCCTCATATGTCATTGTCATACCCCTGCTTGTAGGTTACTCTGTTTAATCATCGGTTCCAAAGTACCGGTCCCCAAACTCACCCATGCCTGGTATGACACGAAATTCCTCATTTAATGCAACGTCAATCTCCGAAGTGACAATTTTCAAGGATGGGAACCTTTTGCAAACACAATGGATACCCTCAGGGGCCTGAAATTCCATAGTGAAGAATATCAGGAAACTTTAGCGATCTAAACTAGAGCACAATATTGCAACCACCGTAGATTTACCTTCGATAAAGTTATCAAAGAGAATAACTTACAGAGATTAGGTTTAGGAATATGATGTAGGATTCTGGAACTCCTTTCTGTATGAGAAGTTCTATCGCTTGGTTTGCAGAGTTACCTTCAAGAAAGGTATCAGAAATAGTAATCAATCATCTAGAAGGTAAAGATGAATAATTTTCATGGATAGACAATGAATGTCTTCTCATCATAAACTTGGAAACATCACATATGAATGCAAGCAATACATCCTAATAGTGCACTACTAAATAGCAAGACATAAAGATTTCCCTTGATCAATGACAGAACTTTCTCAGCCATTTCAGTAGGAAGGGATCGTTCCACATATTGGCCAGCTCAAAAATGGCCAAAATTTGGCAAAGCTACACTAACAGTAGCCCAATGTATGGCCACAAGTACTACTTTACACATGGATGGAAAATGCTTCTTCCCATGAACAAACATATTATAGTAAAATCTTTCTGGGACATGAAATCAGATTCCAATGAAGTTAATAATTTCCAACAGAATCTACACTATTCATTTAGAAGTCAGAATAATGAAGGTCCAAGAAAAAGCTCATGAGATAGAAAATTGCAGTGAGAAGATCACTACCCAATGCACCAACTAAATTAAAAAAAGAGTACCAATGCTAAAAGAACAGACATACCGACAATGGCAAAATCATGCTATCATAACCAGGAGTGGAATGGTGAGCCTGAAAACACCACTCCAACATTCAAGCAAACAGAAAATTATTACCTGTAGCAAGAACAGGATCTAGAAGCAGGACATGCCGTTCTGAAATATCCTTGGGGAGCTTCTCATATATAAGCTGCATGAGTTTGAAATAGCTAATTGAATGTTAAAAGATAACAAAAACGTGATCCTCAAGTACCAGGTGGAATCTCTTATTGAGCAAACAGAATTTTTACCTGTTTTCCATTGTCTCCATCACGGTGGATGAGAATTTTTCCAATTTTTATTCCTTTGCAACATGCTCGCAGTGCATTTTCCATGCTTTCTCCACTGTAAATGACAGACAAGAAATACTGGTTAGTAGAAATATTCCTATATCTAGACTCAAAATGACCTAGCATCAGTGTCGGGAAGCTGAAGAGTGTATCTAAACTTATTACTGCTTCCCACTCCAAGATAACAACTTGCTGCTCAAGACATTCATGAAGCAAGATGCCAAAGCCAGATGACTAGAACTGCTAAAGTCAATACCTGATTTAAACCTCACCTGCGGACAATAGAGACCCCACATAATTTCTTGCAAAAGTCAACCCCAGTGTAAATCGATCCTGGAGTACAATAAAAACAAATTTTCAAAGTTGTGCGGAAGAATTGTACCAGTAAATTCATATAATCATCACATCCAGCTATTCAAACATGCAAGTGCATGCACACTCTCAACACATTCAGTCTTAGAAAACTATTCCAATTATGTTACTAAAAATCCAACAGACCAAAAAAGCATATATAAAGAGGAAAACTGAAAAAGGAAGAGAATAATGGCAGTAAAAAAACATAATTAAAAAAAAAGAACTTGAAAGAAAACGTATTATAGGACCCAATCTTCTTTATGTATTCTGCCCCAACACACCTGTTGGCGTCACTACTTGCTTCTCAGTGAATGGCAGATGGCCCAAACCATGTTCCACAACCTTAAAAACTCAGTAGAAACAGTTATTAGAGTCTATCATAAGAACAAAGGTACATGAGGAATTTTGGAGAAATGGATAAAAGTATACCAGACGGATAAGTCGGTCTGAATAAAATACAAAATCATGCTTCGATATCTCCTTGTCTCGAATCAGTGTATGCATACCTCGTATCTGCAACATGACTCATCAGCATAAACATATACAAAGAAAGGATGAAGCAAAGCTGGACGAGATTCAAATTCAACTAAACTGCATATCTAACTGCAGAGGCCAAGAAAGATCTTTAAGCACAGTATCCTATCCATTGACATCATAGTCCTATCCAATGACATCATACTGCAAATTGACTCATTCCTGCATTGGTACTGACAGACAAAAATACAAGATGTCTTTGGTTTCTTCTTCTTTCTTTTGGTACTTGATTCGATACACATAAAAAGAAAAGGAGAAAATAAACTTCAAGCCTTATTCATCTTTTCCAAAGGGGTACTTACTTTTGCTCATCAAAACACTGAATCTGTGTTTTTGTTTCTATCTTTTTATACACTCTACTGACGTCCAATACCCAAAACCAAAAGCCATGCTAATATGACATTCTTGTTCACCTGAACTTTTACTTTATTTCAACTATCATGCTCCAGCTTCACATGGTACCACTTTCTGCATCTACCTATAGGCTCAATTTTTTGAGATAAAATTGAACAGTTATTATAGTTCACTGAAAACGAAAAGTTTATTTGGGATGAACCAGAAAAAATATTACCACTAATGCAGAACACAGAACAAAAGTTTTACTCTCTCTTGCAAATACTGAAGACTACCAAAAATAATTTCACAGAATGAATAATATCAACAAATGGAACATAATACCAAAAGACATACCTGAAAAGTTGACTGAATAAAATACACATTTGGATATATTTTGCACAGATCATGTAGACCTAGCTTTGTGTGGATATGTTGCACAATTAAATCAATGGCAACATGATTGTCACCCCCCGTGGGATGATCACATCGGCATACTTCTTCGATGGCAACACAAAATCATCAAAAGCAGGCTTCACAAATTTAGCATACTGCAAAATCAACATAATGCATCAGTGAGTGACATCCACAACAATGCCACAAAGAGTTCAAAGAGATTAAATCTCTGCAAGTTGCACTCTCAAAGTTCTGCAAAATTCAGAGCATGAACACCTTGAAAATCAAGAACAATATTAGAATGGGACTTTAAACTTGCTCCAATTTGGATAAACTGACAACTGATCCTAGATTTTCAAGTCGTAATTCATGATCCATGTACTTTTACTGGTGCTGAAGAGTTTTCTACCTCCAGCCAACAGACACACTCATGAATTGCTATGGAAGTTCAGATCCACTATAGTCTATATGGTGTGCTCGACAAGGGGGTTTCTTCCAAGGACATATATGTAGCAACACCAGTTGAGTGCTTGCACTTGAGTTACTAATTGATGGGATAGAGCAATTTCGAAGACAGCATTTGCTGAAATACATTTTGATTGAGACACTTCTTAGAAGTCAAAGCCCACCAATTTATTTGATGTGCATATCTATATTTTCCAGTTATTTCATTCTTAAGGGGAAATAAAGTAGCAACCAAGGAGAATGATGTGAGTCCTATACTTCGACATCTAGAGACTTTAATCTGAGTCCTGTCACAAGTTCATGTTAATTGAACTTAAACTAGAGCCAGGCATTAGGTCCAGCACGCTAATGCATGTGTTGCAAGTTCAAAACATATCCTTAGAAACAGGGAAAGGTTCAAGTTCAAGAAGATTGATACTGAACAAAGCGTTACATCCATTTGAGTGCAGGCCACTTCCTTCTATATTTAGGTTGTTGCACGATCAGGAAATAGCTCCACTAATGCATGCATTCATGTACACAGAAAAAAAAATGATACAATGAATTACAGGAAAAGTTTGTGTTATGCTTGCTTTTATCAACTGACATTCAGAAATATACTTTAATGTAACTATACTTAGCAATGAAATGCCATAATTTTAAATTAGCTTAGGAAAAAGTGCTTCATGCAAAACATGATTTATGTGAAAAATCACTTACAAACCACGGCTGGACTTTTCAACTTTTCACTAATTGAGGAAAAAGAAAATAGTAATAAGAATAAAGTGCTAACCTGTTCTAGAACAGAGCTTATGTCCCTACCCCTCTCAACTGTGTCACGCCTTATTCTACGAGCAAGCCTCACATCAGCATCTAGAAGCAACACATGACCGATATTAATAAAGAGGAGAGAGCGAATGAAAGAGAAATAGTAATAATAGATAAAACCTTTTTAAACGCACCTTTCTAAATTTGACAGTCAAATAACTCTTACGCAGACTATCTCCCAACAAATCTAACTAGATTTCCATGGTTCGATTAAAATAATAAGTCACTAAAGACAGCTTTATTGATTAAAATAACAGTCATATGGCATTCTGAGCCCAAACTAGTTTTCCAGTTTAAGTTGAACTAAAAGTTATATGTACAAGTAGATCCAATATGCAGATTACTAATGATTGCAGTGCTTATTCTTCTTAAGAGTGCTGCACTTCTGGTCATCCAAAGGATAAAAATTTAGCAATTGGCTATCAGTTTACCAGTTAGCACTTTGATGTGCCTGTGCAGAGCATGAACTTTCTGAACACACACAAACACGCACCACACAATTTCAAAGACCTACAGAATATTAGGAGAGGAAGGAATAACTGTAGTTGTTGCATGATGGACAACTAGGTAAGGACACAAACCTGTATCAACAAAAATTTTCATACTCATCAGGTTGCGGACGCGCTGGTCATGGAAAACCAGAATCCCCTCTAGGATGATCACATCAGAAGCATTTACCTGACGAAGAATCCAAATAATATTTCAAAAAGAAGTAGAAAGAGTTTGCATGTAAAAATGACCCCTCTAGAAGAAAAAAAAGGCAAAGAGAATGAAAATTAATTGGAAGAAACGAGTAAATAGTGGGAAGAAAAATTTCAAAGTATTAAATCTTTCAACTTCTTACTTTCCATGATGAAATAGAGCTCTGCTGCTGTTTATAGGGGATTAAACATCATTAAATTCAATTTATGGCAAGAAAGTGCACCATTCACCCTGTGTTGGTAATTTCCCGCAGAGAATTGCAGCAGGAAGAAAATAATTGCAATAACTTTTTATTTATTTATTTATTATATCAAAGCCAATAGTGGGAACTATAAGCAACCTACACCTTTTCTAAAAGGAAGAGATTCCAACTTGGTTACTAAGTTTAAAATCACTAAAATGATTAACTTAACATCACCATTTACAATCCCGTATCCAAATCTGTACACTGATCATAAAAATATAAAAATTAAAAAAATAAAAATCATTGTTGCAGAAAAACGCAGTGAAGTAAGTACCTGCCTGAAGCTATCCGAACATCTGCGATGCTTCTTAAAATCATAGATGGGAACTTGATAAGAATGTCCACTTTTCAGCTTTTGAAGACAGTCTAAAAGCTGCTCTGTATCAAAAGCATCTACAAGAACAACAACAACAACAGCATCCTTTACTACACAAAAATTATTTTCTCAAAGAGGTACCTAAATTTTAATCGATCATTCAATCTTACCAGGATGGTCAAAATTATACTCATGCACTCGCTCCGATTCTTCAGCCGTCAAACCACGATAAAATGAATCCTAACGTTCAAAAATAAATAAATAACAAAATTAAAATAACAATTGAAATTGAGAGTTAACCAAATCAAATCCAAAATAATTATAAAAAAAAACCTGATTAACAAGAACAACACGGTGATCGTGAAGCTGTTGAATGATCATATCACACACTGTAGTCTTACCGGAAGCCGTACCACCAGAAACTCCTACAAAATTAATAAAATATTCAAAAAATGAAAAAATATTAATATTTAATTAATAATTTATTTGTGCGAGTTAAATTTACCAATGACAAAAGGTTGCTTGTTAGCATTGGAGTCTGACAAGGGGGAAGAATTGGCGGAGGCGGAGCGGTGAGAGGGAGAAACAGTGGAGGAAGACGGCGGAGAGGAGAGAAGACCATCGAGACGGAGGCCGGAGAAGTGTGGACCTGAAGCCTTCTCCATTACGTAGTCTATGGAATTTGTCTCTTCCGGCATCATTTTATAGTGTTTACTTGTCTACTGGAATGACTATAGAGTTTGCTTTGGAACAGAAGAACTGTGCTTCTTGTTTGGCGTGCTGTAAGTCTGTAACTGATTTTTTTTTTTTTTAAGCTTTTCTTTTCCATACCAAAAAAACTAAAAATAAAAAAAATTCGAGATTTGCGTTTCGAAGAGAGGAATATGCTGTTGTGGCGTGGGCCCATTATAGGGTCGCCTGTTCCATTTTTAAAAGGCAGATGAGAGCACCAGCTGCTCGCATGCAACATTTTATAAAAATGTTTTGCGGTTAGAAAAGGACTCAAAGCATTTTGTTTTTCTTTTTTTAAGCAGAAACTCCATCAATTAGATTTAAGAAGTTAAAAACTTTTAATTTTAGAATAATTTTTTGATTTAGATTAGAAGGTTTTTTTTTTTTTTGGTAAACGTACTAATGATTTTTTTTTCTAGTAAAAAGCTTAAATAATTTGCAAAAATCATGTAAAACGAACATGTTTTTTTTCTTATTTAAATCATGTACTTTTCGAATTTTTTTATTTATATCTTTTTTTTTTAGCTTGATTGAAAATTTTTATTTTTTGAGATTTCTTTCTTCAAATTTTGTGTTGTAATGCCATTATTAAGTAATTTACAAATGGTATTGTAAAATAAAAAACCTCGAAAATAGAAATGACATAACGATCACCGATTGATAACGCGATAACGAATAGTTTAAAAAATCTTAAAAAATAAAAGTCCCAATCAATTAAAAAAGAATAGAGAGTTTTATTTTTTTTTAGAAAAATATTGGATTTAAATATGAAAATAAACCCTAAAACAAACTTTAAATCTTTTTTCTTTTTTTCAAAAGGAAGATCATTTACAAAATTTATAAAACTTTAATTTCTTCCTTTTGTATGAAGGAAATTTTCAATTTTTAATGCCAAGCCATACTATTTATTTATACATAACAAAGATTTTTAGTGTCATGCAACAACTATATATACATAATTCTTGCCAAAGTACAAGTTTAAAAAAATAGTATAAATTTTATGTGTATAAATTTTTATATACCTATTTATCACGAGTGTAATTTTATTATTTAGTAATCAAACTAGTTGGATACCCGCACTACGTTATGAGTAGATAATCGTTACATACATAAGGTTAACGATTTGTATAGTGTAATGCGAGTGAAAAGTTTTATTTTTAGTTATTAACATAAATCGAATATATATATAGTTAATTTCGACAAAATTAATGATATATATATTCGAGTATATAGAATAAATAGAAAAATAAAAAAAAATCTAAATTGTAGAAATATATTAAAGTCAATAGATTAAAATAAAAACTACAAGAAAATTGGTTCGATAAATTCTGAATAAATATATATAAAAAAGAAAATAAAACTTGTGAATTTTTTGAACTTATTATTATTTTAAAAAAATTGAGTCAAACTATTTAAAAAATACTTTTAACTCTCTCTCTCTCTCTCTCTCTCTGTGTATATATATACACACACACTCATTTAAAAATACAAAAATGATTTATTATATAAATTATAATACTATATTTAAAAAAAATAAAAACACCGACTCTAAAATTTTATTCCAAAATTCATATATTAAAAAATCAAATTTATTAACAAAAAAAATTATATCAAAAAAATAAAAAAAAATTAATTTAATGAGAATTTTAATAAGAAACAAATAATTGAAGAAATAAAATTTTAAAAATAAGAATAAAATAATTAGATATATATGTTAACATAATTGTCAAAAATATAACTAATACTTGGTTATTCTTTTAGGAGTTTCCTTTTACCTCTTGGTGATCCAATCCTAAAACACATCAAGATTTAAAATAATTAGCTAATTTTTTTTTGTTCTATCATGAGATTAGTGGTCAAGCTTTTAAAAAATATAAAATAAATTATAGGAAAAAAAAAAAGAACGAGGTCGCACCTTGTTGGTTTGTGTGTGTATATATATATCGTACTTAGTAGATTTAGAGTATATAAACTAAATAAAATAATATATAAAAAACCCACTTAAATTATATAGAATATGTCGAAGTGAATAAATTTAAATAAAAACTACTATAAAATTGGTTTCGATATATATATATAATCGTGAATTTTTAACTAATTAATAATTTTTTGGGAAAAAAACAATTCAAATTATTTTTTTTAACCGATTCTTATTTAAAAAAATGAAGTCAAATTATTTAGAACACACTTTTAGCTCTTTCTCTCTCATTAGAATTTATATAAGCAACAACATCATTTTCATATAAAAATCACGAAATAATCAATCGTATAAATTATAATAATATATCTTAAAAAATAAAACAATCGTGTTTTCAAAATTTTATTTCAAAAGTCATATATATATAAAAAAAATTATTAACAAATTGAAAAGAAAGGACAAACTAAATCTCAACAGACTCAACCCGTTAAAAAGAAGAAAAAAAAAGGGATGCCGGTTGAGAAAAAAAAGCAACGATAATAGGACTCGTGAAGAATGCTATAATAATGGGACTATGAAAAACCGGTTCAGCGACCCAAGCCTTTAAGAAAAAGAAGAAAAAAGGCAAGGGGGATGTAGCATGAACAATCTCATCCCCAGTTCTTTTAGCTTTTTTTTTTTTTCATTTCTCATGCTATGTTGCGATCGGACAATCATTATATACACAAGGTTAACGATTTGTATATGTATGATGCGAGTAGATGTTTTGTTTATGAAGATTAATATAAATCAAATCTATATATTAAGCAAACTTATTTGAATTATATATATTCATTAACAAAATAATTTATAATATTAGTATAAAAAATTTATATTTATATAATTAAGAGGCCATTTCAAAACATTAATTAAATTATTTTATTTAAAAATATAGATTTTAGAATATGAAAAAAATAAATAACAAATAATTGATGTTATTTGTGTAGATATAATTAATTTTTAACAAAACTATATATATCGTACTTGACAGATTTAGGGCATATAAAATAAATAAATAAACCCACCTAAATCGTATGGAATATATCGAAGTAAATAGATTTAAATAAAAACTATTATAAAATTGGTTTCGATATATTCTAATTATATATATAATCAAATAAAAACTATGAATTTTTTTAACTAATTATTAATTTTTCTCATTAAAAATGAAAAAAAGAGAGGCCAACCATTAAAAAAGAAAAAGAAAAAAGAAAAAATGTTGCCATAGTAAATGATAGCCCAACTGTTTTTTTTTTTTAAAAAAAAAAGAAGAAGAAGAAGAAGAAGAAGAAGAAGGCTAGCTCGAAAAAAAATGAATGACGACCTAGCTCTTTGGAAAAAAAAGAAAAAAAGGAGGCCAGCCGGACCTTCAAAAAAAAGAAAAGAAAAGCAAAGGGACTAATTAATTTGTTTCTCAAAAAAGAGAGACCAAGAAGCAATGAAAAAATACATGAACAAGGACAATGAGTATGCAGCTATAGTGAATGAATAGCTTTACCTTCACTTCTTTTATTTATTTTTTTCTTTTATAATAAACATGCAAGCTTGCCCAAAGTAATGTATTTAACAGTTCTAAAACAATAGCCTAATTATATAATGGAAAGTTACTATTGGTAAACAAAAGTATATATTAGTACCTTAAAAATAGACCAAACTTTTCTTGAATTTTAGTTCATTTAAAAATTAGTTTATAAACTTTTAATTTTTGATTATACATTTTTTAAACTTTATTAGTCATTTATCGATATTTAGTTCATTGTATGATTTTCATCGATCACTCCCATCTCCTTAAAGTATTTAATTCTTAGTATTTTAAATTAACGTTTCACATACACGTCCAAAAAAGTACAATTCATTTGTTGAAAAATCCTAGAATTTTTCAAGCATGAAAAAAAATATTTTTTATTTTTTTAAAATTAAAAATATAGAAAATAATTTGAAATAATCCCAAAATTTTTAGAGAATCCTGGATAAATCTTACCGAATGATTTATGTCATGATACTATTTATGCGACCTTTTTTTTATAGAAAATTAAAAAATTGAATAAATATCAAAAATAAATAAATAAAATTTAGAGAGTTCAAATCCAAAATTGAAATTCAGAGGCTGATTTTTAAATATAATTTAGAAGAGCTTTGACTCGTTTATCTTCCTAAAACTACTTGTAAAATTCGCTAAAGATGGAAGGATAAGTTTGGTGAATTGGGATGATTTGCATTATGATTGGCAAATCAATAAGTCTTATCTTCACAAAACATAACAAAAGAAGGCTCAACAAGATAAGGGAATGGCTTATAAAAGAAGATTCGAAGATATGAAATGGACATGTCGTAAGATGATAAATTTATCACATATTAGAATTGCCTCAATAGTTATTCTTTTACAACTATAAATATGTATGAATTGTTTCTAAGAGAAATCCAAGTCAATCAATCAAATCAATAAAAATTATCTTTTAAAATATTTAGGCATATTAGTCATTAGAACCATTTTTAGTATAATTTTAGCATAGATCTCATTCGACCAATTTGTGATTGGAAGAGGCAACTACGAATACTGCTCTCGTGTTTCACAAAAGTCGGGATGCTAGCAACACAAACATTAATACTTCATTTTAAAAAAAAAATAGTCTTTTGTTTTTTAATTCACATATTCAAGATTCCTAACGGGATTCTTAGCGAGAATTAGAATTCGAATTCATAATCTCTTATTACAAAAGATTATTACTGCTAAACTATAAGTTTTTTGATAAACATTAATACTTCTAATCAATCGTCGAGTGAACGGTTCAACTATGTGACTCTATCGAAGCCACTAATTTTACTTTCAGTATTTTTTCACAATCGTTAACTTATAGTCATGTTCGAAATGAACAATGTATGAATCCTATGCGATGAACCGCAATTAACCATGGATTCAACAATGCCCCTCCTAGAATGAGTGATAGTGAGATCGCAAGTACTTCTTACGAATTCGACGATAGACCAATGAGGCAATCTGATAACGGAGTG